CGACGGGTTCATTTACACAAAGTTACAGTAAAAATAACATTTATATTGTTTCTAATAGTTCAATATGAACATTCGCTGTATTGAAGCAACTTATAATTATAGAAAATGTTGTTCCTTATCTTACAGTAAAATCCAGAGGTATCCAGTATAGTACAGCAGGTACATAAGGTATATAATCAATGTAAGCACAAACAGTCATTTACTTTTATATGGCAAACATGTACACTGGTCCAAATGTTCGCAGCGTTAGTTGTTGATGACAATTCAAGTGACATGAAGCAGTTCAATCGCTGATGTTAAAAACCACAAACCAAGACTGAAATCTCGGTGTAATTATGGATTCAGACCTCAATCTGAACCATATCAAGACAGTCAAAAAATCTGCCGGCTGTCACCTGAAGAATGTATCAAGAGGACTTTTGTCTTAACAGGATTTTGAAAAACGTGTCCATGCACTTAACTTCAGTGGACTCGACTCCTGTAACCGTGTGTTTGCGTGTCTCTATCCGTAAGCGGAACACGTCACTCACGTTTCCCTTCGGTTTTTCTGCTCCACATATCTGGAACAAAGCACCCAGAAGGCTGCAGGTCTGCTGAGTCCTCAGCTCCTTTAAATCCAGATTAAAGACCTTTCTGTTGGCTGATGCCTTTAATTCACCATTTCTCCATTACAGAAGTTTGGTACTCTTTAACTAAACTGCAAGTCCTTAAAGTTTTAATGTCGTCTTTTTAATCACTGCTCTTCTTTTATGTTTCAATCAATGTTCTTAACGTTTTTTTAAATCTCCTCACTTAATGTTCGGGTGTTTTTAATGGTTTTATGTGAAGCACTTAAATTGTCTTTTTGTTGAAATGTGCTACACAAATAAAATTGCCTTGTCTTGCCTTAGGGGAAGATGCAAACAAACATAACCGAACCAACTGAAATGTTCCAAATGTGTCAAAAACAATGAATATCATTTGTTATTGTTCCTAAAATGAATGAAAAAAACAACAATAAAATGACCAATTTGCCTTTTGTGTCAAATGTAATACAAAGATTTTTTTAATGTGATTTAACTAAAGGTCCGATAAACACTATTATTTCTCATGTTAAGCTTCACAGGGTTAAATGAATGAACCAAAGTCGAGTAAGCTCAACCTCTACTACCATTTATAGCTTCTTGATGATGAACTCTGGTGACCTTCTGGCAGTCGTTCTTCCAGCACAACTGTGACGTTTGAGATTTGAGTGAATCTTCTCAACCAAGATACATTGGCACGACATTTGTACAGATGTTCACATCCCCTTCCAACAACTTTTCCTCCAGCGCCACCATTCGGTTGGTCGATCACATCCTTTTAAAGCCATAACAAATTAAATCTTGGCCGTTAGGTTAAAAAAAACCCTTCTATTATGTCATATTTATTCACTTTCATGTTTAGAAGCATTATCGTCCCTCCTTCATCCAACAAAGTATTTAAACATTCATTAATTCGACCCAGGTGCAAGTCAAGGGCAGTTCTAATCTAGGCAGCGGAAATAGCTTTTTTCTAATAAAGGGGCAGCCACTGTGTTTACAGATGCTGTGCAGCAGGTCTGATGAGGAAACATGGCTGACTCAACGTATGTTAAATTACATTTAGAGTCAGGATGCAGTTGCAAATGCTTTGCCCTTTTGTCTTCCATTTCCCAGCAGCATTTCTCATTGCTCTGAGTGACAGAAGAACCTGTGAACCCGCCGTTACAATCTTCCACTGCGTTTTGTTACACTTTGGAAGTGGAGGGTGTTTTTTTTTTTCTGTCTGTGCAAATGATCTGCCGCCATCAAAGAGCTGCTGCTGCTGTCCTGGTCCACTTTGAAGTCCATTTCAATAGTGTTTGTTTGTGTGTGAGGCGGATATGAATTGTGTACCAACGATTAACATGTACCTCAAACTGCGTCCCGGGTGTACGGACGGCTGTACACACATGGGCACAGACACACAACGTGTAAACACTCCCCAGTGCCCTTTATACTCTTGTATGTGGTCACCATGGCAACTGTACACAGAGGCCTCCGCTCATACCCCCCCCCCACCCCCCCTCTCATCTGAATGAAACGGCAAGTGATTGCTTTTCTGTGATCAGTATCAGGGACGTGGGCTTGTTAATCCCCCCAGAAGAGATATCGACGCCACCACAGGAGGAAGCAGAGGATTTAGGAGAGAGGAAGGGGGGCTGTGGAAGGAAGGATGAGGAAGTGGTCGTGTTCTTGATCTGATATTGGAGATCTCTAAATATTCTCGGTTACGCCTTGCACGGTGCAGGCCGATGCTTCAGTCTCTCTCTGTCTTCATTTATTGCCTCAGCGCACGTCGTCCTTCAAGCAGATGTTCGATTCCAGGCTCCCGTGAAACCTGAAACCTGAACTTCTGGTATTGTAGGAGTTTCTGTGTTGATACAAAGCTGATAGGAAAAGTATTTATAGAACATAATTCCGATCCAGTTGTTTGCAGAAACGTCCATATTTATGGCAAGAGGGTTGCGACAAAACGTCAGACTTTAACATGGCAGCTGACTCCTTCTTCCAAGCGACTGCCAAGGTTGTTTTTCTTCATCCTCTTATCGTTCAACAGCTGAACCAATGGATAATATGTATTAATGAAAACTTTGCCTGTCACTGTGACCACGGTGTGGTAATAGCGTGAACAGGGTAGCTCCTGTCATCAGTGTGTGAATGGGAGAAACATTCGAGTGTCAAAGAGCTTTGAGTGGTCGTACAGGTACCGTCCATCCACCGCGTCCCCGTGGTGCCGATCGGGACAGTGTTTGGGTCAGTGAGTCGTTCTGGGTCCTTAACTGAAGCTCCTGCTTCTCCTTCTTTTCTCCTTAATCAAACAACAGCCGCAGAAACGTAGACATACACACAACAGACGCCATAGATACATGACGATAACGCTGTACGTATGTTTAGACGGCCAGAAGAGATCCATTAAGAGTCTGTATAACAATGTCCAACACGGCATTCAAACTCCCAATTCCGGCTGCGCTGTCTGACTCACTGCGCTGAGGATCATCGTACGTGCACCGGCGACCTGCTGCTGCGTCCACAGTCAGACCTGACAGCAGGACGACATGGACACTAAACTGGAAATGATTTGTATGCAGCGATATTGTTTCAATGATGCTCCTCTCTTTGTCCCCATTGAGCCTGTGGTTCGTGTCCTCAGGGGATAATTGTCCCTCCTTCAGCCCCCTCAGTGAAGCCTTTGCATCTGGCCCCTTCGCCCCGATGAATAATAACTCCTCCACGCTGCTCCTCACCCTCTCACCCCCTCACAACGCCTGTTACCTTGATCCCTTGTCTTCTTTTAGAACCTTTCTTTCAATAAAGTTCAATAAAAGACGAAGGTGTACACTTGTTCTAAGGTCGCCCTAAATACCTTGGTTGTGATCTGATGATAAGTAGAAAATACAATAAAATGCCCCCCCCCCAATATAATGGTGGCAGTTGCTTGATTGACAGGGTATTGAGTAAATATTTGTTTCTGGTCTGTTGTAAGGTTTTGCTTTGAATGAAAAATAAGAACAAAGTAATCGGGACTCCCAAGACGTTTCATATGAAGGCTAAATCATATCATATGAGTTGAAATCACACTGCAAAGAGTTGATTCAACTCTTACAGAGTCAATTGTACGAAAGAGCCGGAGTCATTATTCAGATCTGATTTGTTTGCGACACTTAGTAGAGTTGAATGAACTCTTTAATTTGGTTTGGAATGTGACTGTACAGTGTCACACCTCCTGGTGATCGGTTTAACTCTACGTACTGTGGCGCGTGGAGCAGAGAGGGTGAGCCGGGAACCACGAGGTGGGTGGTTCAAACCCCGGCTGCTCCATGTCAAAGTGTCCCTGAGCAAGACGCCTAAACCCCTAATTGCTCCCCGGGCTAAAATGTAAAAACCGTGGGTTAAAAATGCAATGTCAGTCGCTTTGGATAAACGCGTCAGCTAAATGACCTGTAATGTTTTCAACACATTTATTTTTGACACGTATACCGAGTTAACTTGTTAACACTTTGTTGATTTAACACTGACAAGATTGGGACGATATAAACACCAGCTTAGAGGTCAAATTGAATCTCACAGAGTCAATTTAACTCTCTGAAATGTGCTGTGTAGGTTGTAGTTGGGGTTAAATAAGTACATCTGTTACATAATGCACTGATGGAGCAGTAGTCTCAGTGTAATGTTATATATAGGATACATTTGATTATGGATCATTTATTTAATTTAATAATTTTTGCTTTGCAAAACATCTCAAACACATGTTTGATGCGTTGGGTCAAGCAACGGTTAACACGCCACCACAACAGGTCTTTTCTCGCAGATGTTCGTGGGTGTTGCACGTTTTGAGAAAGAGACCGGCAGCACAATGAGGAGGCAGAAGCGCCTCGCTGCTCATTTCACACTATGTTGTGGAGGATAACGACCAGGAGGACAGTGATGAACATAATGAGGAGGAAGAATCAACGGATGAAGAGGATTCAGGAGAGAAGGGAAATAATGATGTCGTACACGTTTTGTGCTTTGGGGTCTAAAATCAATTTGCCTGGTTTGCCTGTTATTTAAATCACAGTATAAATTGTCCATCAATTCTGTTTTACGCCTTTAGTCTTAATTCAGTCCAACCATCACTACACATCTCCCCTTTGTTTTGTAATTTACGGCCAACATGGCTGTTTACATGGAGGTGTACCTGGTCCTTTCCTGCTACACTCACAATAACAATAATAATAAATGTCTTTATTCCATTTGACCAATAAGAACTCATGAACCGTCACCTTGTTTCTGGATAATTAAATAATCAATTATTATTAATATTGTCAAAGATCAAAGAGTCACATGTATTGATTGATCATCACAGACTGGTAGATTGAGTTAGGATGCTGTTTTTAAGTTACATTTTCCCTTTCACCATACATTTGACCCTTATTAGTATTGCTTTTGTGTAAACTGTGTCTGTCTGTGTTTCCTCAGCTGGACAACCCTGACGAGCAGGCAGCACAGATCAGAAGAGAGCTGGACGGACGATTGCAGATGGCAGACCAGATAGCTCGGGTAACGGACGCCGGCGTGATGGACGGACTCATCTCATTTAAAATACATGAAACCGAAATGATTAGTGAATAGCAAACACTTAACATTAATCCTCTTTATTGGGGGCAGGAGGGGTTTTTGGGCGAGATTGCAGATCACCCTTAATTACAAGTAGTGTCATCATCATCATCATCATCATCATCATCATCGTCGTCATCGTCGTCTTTTGTACAAAATTGCGTTTTGAACACCAGCGTAATGAAACACAGAGATAGAAACACAACAGAATCTCTCAATGCACACACGCGCTACACCGCCTGAAGGGTCTCAGGGCCGCGTATTTGTTTCCTAACCCGCGCGTTAAATCGTGGCGAATTCAACCCCTGCGTTGAGGATTCTCAACGCAGATGTTACAGCTGCTGCTTTCCTAGCAGAATATTTCTGCCGTTCAGTGGATCACGCTCCTTCACTCTTTCCCGTCCGCCGTCCCGCTCTGGATCAGCACGGTGGAAGGTTTCCTAGGTTCGCCTCCAGAGAGATGGAGGCCATGTTCATCGAGGAGCTGCGGTCCTCGGTGAACCTGCTGATGGCCAACCTGGAGAGCATGCCTGTGTCCAAGGGAGGAGAGTTCAAGCTGCAGAAGCTGAAGCGAGGTCACAACGCCTCCATCATGGACATGGGCCAGGAGGACGAGAATACGCTGTCCAAGTCTGACGTGGTGCTGTCCTTCACACTGGAGGTCGGTGGACTCGGATGGACTTATTAACATTGTTGGCTGTTGCTTTCAATTACAGGACGTCAGTTAGTATGTGGTCTTTCTAGTTAGGTGTGAGTATCTGTCACAGGTTCCATGAGGGTTCATCCTCGGGGCAGCAGACATGTAATGGAATATTTCATATTTGATAGAAATTAAACATTAGAACACAATAGGAAGTAGTCTGTTGTTCCATGGACACTTCACAAAGGTGATCGCTGAGAGCATGAACGTGCAATAATATAGTGCTTCTATGTGCACTTTTCCATCTCTCTGAGATTCTTAAACATGCTGAGGCAGAATGAATTCCATCTTTTGTTCAATGACCTTTGAACTGGCAGCAGCTTCCGTCCAGCAGATGACTGACAATGTGGGATCGGCAACAAATCCACTTATTCTGCCACCAAGTGGTAGAGATGTGAACACGTTTACTCTGAGTCTGCTCTGTTCACTGAAGCCAAAGCTCTTTCTCTGTGTGTGTATATATATATATATATATATATATATATATATATATGTAATCCGTACGTGACAGCATAAAGATACAGAGACAGAAACTTAACCTAAGTGAAGGCAGAATGGTGGCTTTATTTTCATCTTTTCAGGGTTTCTCTTCCATCTCCTTGTATGCTAATATATGTGTGTGTGTGTGTGTGTGTGTGTGTGTGTTTGTGTGTTCCAGGTTGTCATCAGGGAGGTTCAGGGTCTGAGGTCGTTGACCCCAACCAGGATTGTTTACTGCCCCAGGGAGGTGGAGGGAGGTCACAAACGGCAGACAGACCAGGCTGAGCCTCTAACCTACGTACGCCCCCCCCCACACACACACACACACACACACACACACACACACACACACACACACACACACACACACACACACACGCAATTACACCATCTTTCCGGAGCTTTACAGGTCAGCACACTGTGTGGACAATGTCTTAGTAATCAGATCTTTAATAACTCCACACTGCCACCTGCTGGTCAGAGGAGGTGCACGCAGGACATGTGTGAAAGTCCTTTTATGGGTGTTCCATGAACCGTCTTATTGTATACGGTATATATTCATAACCTTGTTTGATTTAACATTCCATATAATCAGGTGGTGCTTATTGTACTCCAACACAGTTTCACTCACTCCACCTCTGCAGCACCCTGCAGCATTCGCACCATAGTAGCTACTCATTTATTCGTCTCTCACTCACACTCCCTGTTTCCCTGGATTCAGTCTTGTTTGTTACTGTTCACCAGTTCGAGATATATTAACAGTAAATAAAGGGGTTAAATGGTCAGCATGAGAGACACAGTTCTGGCTGCAAAATGTATTTATTCCAACTAAATCCACAAAAATCCAGCTTTCGGTTCTCTCAAGTGGACATTCACTGCAGTTATTCAATGAGAGCACCACTTCTCAATGCAGAAGAAGATACACATAGGGAATACTATAGACTGGCTAAACAATATAATTATAAAACGTTCATGTGCACAGTTTGACTAAGCCAGAACTTTGGTTCATAAATGCATAGTTGAAATGTATCAACACATAAATGAGAGCAAATAAAGTCTTTCAGGCAGGTTTAAAACAGTTCCCTTATTTCATTTCCTTACCAATAAAACAAAGAATGAATGCCAGGCTTTCATATCAGATTCTCTTTTGCACACTACAATTACCCCACACTACGAAGTGGATCAAAGTGTACTGCAGACTGTTAAACAAGAGACAGGGAAGATATTCTGCTGATTTACTTGGGGACCCTGAAACAGCCTCCTGAGACCCCCCGCAGGGGCTGTTCCAGGGTTTGGGGAGGACTGCAGAATTCCTCGGCTGGAGAAGAAGAGACCCATCATCGCTAACAGTATCTTGTGCCGTCTTGTGTCTGTGCGTAGTTGGGGTACCCAGGGTGACTTCACCACCACCCAGCCGCTCCCTGCGGTGAAGGTGAAGCTGTTCACTGAGAGCACAGGAGTTCTGGCTCTGGAAGACAAAGAGTTGGGGAAGGTGAGCGACTGACGGTGCCGCGTTGGGGTTCTAAATGCTGCGCGGCGCACAAGCGCATTGTTTTACGATGTGGCTGTTCGCAGGTCGTACTCCACCCGACCCCCAACAGTCCCAAGCAGTCGGAGCTCCACAAGATGACCGTGTCCAAAGGCTGTCCGGACAATGACCTCAGGATCAAACTGGCCATTCGCATGGACAAACCGCAGAACATGAAGCATTGTGGGTAAGTGATGTGTGGGATTTTACTTGCTCGTAGCTGCAGTGTCCCTGAGATCAGATCGGATTCTGATACCTCAGATTGACAGTTCTTTTCCTCCAAACATCTGCAACATGTATGTTTGACCACGAATGAGGAGCACATGTGATCACAGCCGCATGTGGCTTTCACCGTTTTTCCCAGCGGGCGTCTCAATCCAAGCTCAACCAGGTCCGGTTAGAGCTCACGTCTTCAGCCCGTTAGCTTCGACGCTTGCTGTCGCCAAGGCCGTTCGGACAAAGCAGAGTCGTGGACACCCTGGCTGCTTTTTGCTCGTTGCTCCGCCCTCGGTAGCCGGAAGCTGCTCCCCCGTCCTCCCTCCCCTGCATATGCTCTGTTGTGGCGGGCCTTGGAGGAGGCTGCTGGGCTGCCTCCCCGGTTCCTCTGCTCTGCACAACAGGCGACGCCTCATGTGTGCTTTATTTAGGACAACGGGCAGAAGCAGCCCTGGGGGGGTCCCGGGGGGAAAGGCACATCAAGGCGCACCGAGGCGGGCTCACGAGGGAGACCCACAGCTGGACCGGGAGCAGCGGAGGAAGATCAAACTGGGGTCCTCACCCTGAGATGTTCTTTTACAACAAAAGCCCTCTGCCCGTCCTTCTCCCTCCGCATCACTTTGTCCTGTCACATAAAGGAGACCCCCACCCCCCACCCGCCCCCCCTTTCTTACATTTGGATGCTGGCTGCCACATTGTACAGTTTCGCTCAATGAATATCAGATGTAAGGAAATATAATAATCCTCCCAAAGCCTTTTAGTCCTTCAATTTATTTAGAAAATACTGACTTTACATCTCATGCACATCGATGTGCCATAAAACTCTCTTTTAGACAAGAATGACTCGCACATCTGGCACTATGATCCACCATTTAAAACCAACGAGTGAGCAAAGTCATTATTTTTATGCATATTGTCTGGTCGCTGGTGTCAAATGCTTCAGCTTCCCTTTGTGGATAAATGAATGTAGTGTAAAGTCCCATTTACTCTCCCTGGTTTGGCTGAAAGGGAAAACGCAGCAAAAGTAGTTAGTTATAACGAGCCACATGATCCCTGTGCAGCCGGTGCCATTAGTCACTGCTGTTCGCTGCCCTCTCGCACGCTTCACTGCCACGTGTCTGGTGGCAATGTGCGCGTTTATCCAGGAGAGGCCAGTGATGCCCCACACCAGCCCTCTGCGGAGGAACGACCTGCCAGAACAGACACCAGCAAACTCATTGCTTCTGTATCAGCTGCAGAAAGTCCACGCTGAGAAATCTCTCTTTAGTTATACTTTTCTAACCGTGAGTTTTGTTCATACCCCGCAGGTACCTTTGGGCCATTGGCAAAATCTTGTGGAAAAGATGGAAGAAAAGGTACTTTGTGCTGGTTCAGGTAAGCTCGGATTACGCTGTCCACTTCTTTTTGTCCTGTGAAACACAAACCATCACAACCAACGGTCCACTATCAGTGATCTACGGCAGCAGAAGCTCTGATGTCGTACAGTTGCCACTCAGTCATGAAAGGAAATGTATTTGTAGAACCGTGTTGGCGTCGAACCCTGACGCTGTCCACCTGAGGGCATCGGATCTACAACATGTACTGTCAGGGAAGGAAACATTGAAATACTGTGAAATGGTACATATAGTGTCCATGCATTCATTTCGGAGCATATGATGTCATGCTCAAGACCCAAATGTGAGCTGCCATAACCCTCATGCTCTGCCTTTGTCATCCACAGTACATGTATGTAAAGAAATCACTTGCACCTTTAAAGGAGATAATGCATTTGCATTTTCATTTAGAGATATTTAATGGAACATGTTTGGCTTATGGACTGCTGGTTTGACCCGAGACTCATTAGTGATTAGTGAAACCAATCACGCCAATAAATCCTGGCTGCAGCCCTATCGAGGCTATCGAGGTGTAAATGCACACACGCCCTTATTTTGAACGGTTATTGAAGTGTGTGGTCTCAATGTATCTAGTCACCCGGCATGACGGAGTCAATTAGGTCAAAGGCCCAACCAAGATGACCGTGTCCCAGTGCGTTGCACATCAGTAATATAATTCATATTTGGAGCACCGATAGTCACACAGCTTGCAAGAAATACATGTTTCCGTCATACAGAACTCTGAAACCCACCAGATGAAATCTGGACTTCATCAGCGAGGAGCAGAACCTCCCGTCTCTTGCCCCCCCCTCCCCGCCGCAAGTCGCCCGTGCAGCGGGAACGAGAGATGCTGCAACCAAGCTGTCTTCCCTCGGCTGTCAGCGCGGTGATGGAGAAGGCCAGCAGGCTTTTGTCAGGATACAGGCCTTTTTTTGGGGGAGACGCGCGAGATTCACAAACATCTCCAGTTGCTCTCCCTTTTGAGGCTTGGGGGGGGGGGGGAATGGGGGGGCGGCCTGTCTCTTGTGCGTTGCAGAGGATATGTCTCAGAGCTACAAGTTGACAGGGGATTGACAAAGTGGAGTGAACACTAGCCGGCGTAACACTCGCAGCTAGAAAAGCCTGAGCGCCGCCAACTTGAAGCCTCCCACTCGCTCCCAGCGAGATATATAGCAAGTGACAAATACTGGTCAATAGACTGCGCACTCCTGTGTTTGTGTTTACGCGTGTGTGCGTGTGTGCACCATTGGCTGTTTGTCTCGAGGAGTGTGTGTCTGCGTGCACGTTGCCGTTGCTGTTTTGGACACACGTTGCTGTGTATTTTTCTTTTCTTTTGCTCTCAATGCAAAGTCTAGTCAGCAGCTTCTGACCGCCGTCGCCACTGCACACTTCACATGTGGGCTTCTTTTGTCTTCTTTTCAGTCAAGACTTTGATGGGAATCGAATTTTTTTTTATACTGTGGTTATAGTTACACTAGTTTGATGTACATTTGCACAAATAATAATCTTCACATTTCTTATAATATTATGTGCATAATGTTACACAGTCCTTTGCTTCTAGTATTTGTTTTTTAACCAGCTAAAATGACTGAATTTAATTTATGAATTGAATAAATGTATTGAATGATGCCAATGAATGTGAAAGACGTCTTTGAGGTTCAACTTGTCATTAGCTGTTGTCAGTATTTATTGTACACAAAGGGGCCATTGATGTATCTCCTGTTTAAATGTGAAAATGAAGCAGCTCCTAAAGCCATATGTCACAGCTTATGTAAAATGATACTCTTCAATATTCATTTTACTGTCATATTTTTAACAATTAAAAGCGTCTTTCTTGTGAGAGAAGAGGTTATTAATCTGTAACATTGGAGGATCTGGTTGGCTGTTTTTGTATATTTCTGGGGACTAATAAATAGTTAGTGTTCCAATATGCAATTTACAAAGTATTACGTTCTATCACACCTTAAATATTTTGGAAAATATCAGAATGATTTAATAATCACATTCTCAACCAGAGTCTCTACATTATTGCAAAGATTAGCAAATATGTTTGTTTTAGTAAGGATTAAAACATTAAGAAAAAACTTAGAAAATGTCTCATCTAAAAGGACGAGAGGGCCGTACCGTTGACTCCCACTACTGAGAGATGCAGGCTCATAAGCAGATGCAAATTTAGGCTAGCTTAGCTTAGCATTAGCTGAGTGACGTGGAGATGTGGAATTTGACATGGCTCCATGTCGGTGCTGGACTTGGGTCCTCATTTAATACAACTGCATTCATTCATTCATGAAGTCACATCTCACACCCACCGAACTGAACATTTCAAACAAAACCAAAAAAAACGAATATGTATAATGTATTAAATCAACAAAACTACTAGGCCAGTTTTAGAAAAATAACAATAACAATATTTTTATTTGTACAGTGCTTTTTCATAGCCAAATACATTTTACATTAAAATGATCAGATATGATAAAAGATAAAAGATGATCAAATGTAGAAATATCTTTTTACATGTTCTTCTTTCGAATTGAATATTTAGTCTAAATACATATTTTCCAATTCATCATGTTATCTTAAAGGAATAGCTGATGAACAACTATCAGACTAATTTAAGAATATTGACTAATTAATGGACTTGAGTGTACATGATGTTAGCAGTGACCCTCCAGCTGAATAAAAGGTTGAAATATGACTCTGATCTTCATCCTCTCTTCAACCTTTTCTCTTACTTTACCCCCATTGCCCCCCCCCCCTCCCTCCTCCCTGTTGTTTAACAATCGCCATCTCTTCCTCCAGCACACTTCCTCTCTGTCCTTATATCACCTCCTCCTCCTCCATGAGGTCATAATCAGTACAGTGCTTGTGCCCCCCCCCCCCGCGGTCCTTCCTCCACCAAAGCCTCCAAGGGGATTACAGAAGGGCACATACCCAGATGTGGTTTAACATTCTCTTCACTTTACTGCGGGTTAAAGCACTGCAGTTCAGTACGCGTTCACTTCCCTTTAGTCCTGTCGAGTTATTTTCACTGTTCTCCTCACTCGATTTCAGTTTGAATAATAATTCCACTTCTAACTGTATTCTCCTTCACTTCAGAGAGCTCAGTTCAATTCAAATACGTCAGTTCACCTGATTCAATGCTGTTATTTTTCAGTTCAGGCTTTATTCATTTCACTTCAGTTCAATTTAAATCAGCTCAGTTAGTCTCAATTCAATTGAATTCACTTTAATTATTCTTTTTTGAAGTTTCAATTAAATATAATGTGGTCATTTTTGATAACTGCAACATTGTGAATGATCCACTCCAACATGGCTGTGTGTATGTATAGACATGTAGTATGTGGATATTTACATACTGGATGTATTGATGCAAAAGTTTTCATTTTGCATGTGAAGTTTTGTCTCTGAACAAACAAATCATCTCCCGTGTTCATGTCCATGTGTTTCCTGTAATGACGTGAAGCTAAACGACTGCAGCCTTCCTCTTCACTCTCCTCACTCTTCAGTTCTCATTCTTCATCAGCTTCTCTCCCCGTCCCTCTCCCCTCTGCTGACTGACAGCTGAGAGAGAGCGAGAGGCAGAGAGATGGTGTTTTGGGGTTTGGGTGGAGGGAGGAGGAGGGTGAGGGAGGGGGGGGGGGGGGGGTGGCAAGCCGCTAATTTAAGACTTCTGATTTCCTTTGTGGTGTCCTGGAGGCCAGGGAGCTGCTGGAGAGTGGGTCCGCTTCCCTCCATCCTTTTCTTGGCCTCAGGTCTCATCAGCACTGTTGTGGGGAATCTCATTTGTCACACACACACGACACACACACACACACACACACACGCACACACACACACACACACACACACAGAATACAGCTGCAGCCAGAGTGAGAGCTGCCACTTGCAGCGGCGGAGGTGGCCACGACCGCGGATTGGCCGGGCCGGCTGATTGGTGACGACAGTCCAGTATGACTGGCAGCTACAGTAGCAGCAGTCCAGTTACGTCTATAGCAACAGTTGCTACACTGTTACCAACACAGAAAGCCCCGATAACCGGGGTCAACTCGGGCCCCTTATGAACGGGAGCGATCGCCGCTATCGCTGCGCACCCGATGAGACGGTGTCCCTCTATACGTCGCGCTAAAGGAAAGACCTTGTGAACAAGAAAGCAGAATCTCTCTCATTTGACGCATCTTTTATCTAACATGAAAACGGGATAAGCCTTCGTTCTCAACAGGGGACACTTATGGCCCCCTTTCATTTTCACAAGGGGACTAATTTGCATTTGTATGAAGAAGATATGGCTTTACACACACAAACACACACACACAAACACACACACACACACGGACCCTCATTATTACTCATTATTGCTGGTCATGTACACACATCTTCAAGTTAACCCCCTAATTCAGCCACTTAACTTAATTGTAATGTGATTAATATAGCACACACACACACACACACACACACACACACATTAACCCGTCCTTTATCTCTCTCTCTCTCTACAATATCATCAGCATTTATCCTTTCCATCCCCCTGTTCTATGAATGTAACATGGCGTCGTGGTATATCAATTGAAGTTTGAGATGTTGAGATGTTTTGTCACGGTGTGGTTCACTTCCTGTTGTATTTTGTAGTTTTCTGCCACTCGTGTCCCCGGGTAACTTCACTTCCTGCCTTGTCCCGTCATCCCTTGTCTAATAGTTTCCACCTGTGTCCAATCACCTGCACCTCCCTTGTGTATTTAAGCCGTGTGTCTCTTTTGTCACTTGTCGCGTCATTGTCTTTTGCCACGCATGTTCTTGTCTTTCGTCTTGGATCTCCGTAGTTTCTTGCCTGCGTGCTTTTGCCCCCGGTTCCTGTGTTTTTGACCTTTTGACTATTAAAGTCCTTTTGTTTCCTGCAAGTCTGCATCTGAGTCCTGCCTTCCACCCGCATCCCTGACATGTTTCAACACCGTTAGGATGCTCTAGTCTCTTCTAGAGAAGGGTTAGCAGGACTCTGTTTTCAGACTGATGTTCAGACTGATTTGAGGGTCTGGTTATATGGAGCTGCTGCACTGGCTGGATGTCGACAACCAGCTACAACCCTAAATAACCCTGATTTCACCAATACAGACTGGTCTGCGAGCCGGACGAATCGCATTGGTCTCAATGTGGCCGTGAGGCGAGAGCGAAGGGACCGTCTGCAAAGCGGCATCACCACGGTTACAGAAAGGTGTCGCTTGTGTGCTTTGCTGACCGGCTATTAAACCAAGAAGTCCAAATCTGTGAATCGCTTGCCACCTTTACCGAACTCAGGCGCCATCGCGCGGATGCTACGCTGCGTTCAGAGATTCATGTGTGGTTGTTGAATGGTACCATCCGAGGTAGTTGATTATTATATCCTATTCCCGCGATTCAAGTAGGGTCTGTTTTAGACCCTACTTGCTAGAAAACTCCCGTTCTACATGGAAAGGGTTGATTTATCAAGTCTCGTGGTGCCTACGTTTCCTGAAGGCAACGCAATTGAGGAAGGTTTTCTGCCTTATTTGTCAAGCTGTCACTCATGATTACACGCCCCTCTCAGTTGATGCCCCGCCCCCTACGCCACATCAATAGTCTGATTGCGAAAAAAAACAATTTGAAATTGAAAAAAAAAAAATTGAAACTTTTAAATAAAAAAAAAATTAAAAAAATTGAATCTGAAAATATAAAATCTGCAACCCAAAAAATATTATAGAGAAAATATCAAAAAATACGTAAAAGTGAAGAATGAAAAAAAAAATGATGAACTGAGTCAAAACTTCATTCAACCCAAAAATATTTTTCGTCCACTTATTTTTATTTTGAATACATTGGCGTATTTTTCAATGTTCAACACAAAACCCCAAACTTTCAAGCACTCACTCAAATCTGCGCAAAACTAGTTTAAAAAGACTGAAAGTTTCTCTTTAAAACGTGTATAATCTGATATCTCACAGTATTGGTAACAGAGAAGTGTCCTTTTTGTCTTAATGGAGCCATGGGTGCTGCTCATTAAAAGCAAAGACATGCAGTCATACATATTGTTATGCTTCCTGTCGGGTGCTTTAGTGATGAGTGACAGTTTTACTGTTGTGGGACAGTGTGCTGGGACAAGTGCTTCAAGGCTTCCAGTTCCTTCATGTTCTCAGGGCATTTTGTATGTGATATTACTGTGAATTACCGTTTCTCTGTATATTGCTAGAGAACATTGTCTAAACAGTCCAGCTCATAATGCATTACTTTACTGAATGCCGTTTAAGAATGCAGCGTTTTGGTTCATCAGCCCCTCTGAGCTTATTGTTATTTAGTTTTTTGAGGCTTAATGAATTTGATGGGCGTCAAACGGGTGATGTGTTTGACAGTTAACTAACTAGCATATGGATTCATGCCTAATGATCCTTTCCCCTCTCTCTGTGATTGGCGCAGGTGAGTCAGTACACCTTTGCAATGTGCAGCTACAGAGAGAAGAAGGCCGAGCCGGTGGAGCTGCTGCAGCTGGATGGCTACACAGTGGACTACACGGACCCCCAGCCAGGTAACAGCAGCCACACAGCAGCAACCAACGCCAGGGATTCACAGTTGAACCAATTGGATGTAGAAATGTTTTGTTGAAGTCTCTGCGCAGCTGCAGTCCACTCACACGGGTGGGTGTCTGACTTCTCCCCCACCTTTAACCCGACTGAGGTATAAATTGGCAGAGTATTTTCAAACACGTGTTGGTGATATGGTATGTCTGTTTCACCCTATAAATAAATAAAAATGGTATTCTCTATCAACGTAGAGCAGGGCTTCTCAAACTGTGGGGTGCGACCCTCTAGTGGGTCGCAGTGGTATTACAGGTGGGTCGCATGGGGAGATTCTGAATTGTTTTATTTCAAGAACATTATTGAGAACTTTCCATATTACAAAAGTACAGACTCCTGTCGCCACTCACATGGAAATACAGATCCAAGCTCAACGGCGAGCATGAAACGGGGGGGCCGTAAGTCTGCAACCCTGTTTTGTAGTGGAAAGCTAAAACTGATTAAACATGTTACATTACATCATTTGTCCCTTGGCTCTGGAGGAGCTTTAAGTCAAAGCAAACCGCTGCAATCGTGTCTTCAGCTCAGCTTTAGAGAAGTGCAAAGTACAAAGTACACTTTGTTTAAAACGAAGAGCACCTCCAAACCTTCAAGGTCTTAAGGACAATAGGAAGACAAAAAAGCCTTACAAGCAATATCCTGTTCCCACATAATTCCTCCTCCTCTCCCTCGGCGCGTGCCTCAGGGTTAGACGGCGGCCGGACCTTCTTCAACGCCGTGAAGGAGGGCGACACGGTGATATTCGCCAGCGATGACGAGCAGGACCGGATCCTTTGGGTGCAGGCCATGTACCGAGCCACGGGCCAGTCACACAAGCCGGTTCCTCCCACTCAGGTCCAGAAGCTCAACTCAAAGGGCGGCACAGCGCCGCAGCTCGACGCGCCGATATCTCAGTTCTGTAAGTCCGCCACGTCTCGCCACGAGATGCAGTCCTAACATGACTCGTCGTTCCGCTAACGTGGCGCCGTGGCGGCCTTTTCTTTGTTTTAGTTGAGCCTTCATTTATATTTCTCTGCAGCTGGTGTGTCTTTCGAGGATTTTGTAGCACAAAACTCTTGGTGTGAAATGAGATATTCTACCGGAGCCCCACTTTGTGTTTTCACATGACGATCATTCCTGTTGTCTCCTCCGAAGCCTACTTCTATTCTGCTCCTCTCCCACGTCCTGAGATATGAACGTCATACGTCCAGACCTCAACGTCCGTTTGCCGACCTTGACGTACATATTCACATGTAGCCTCATTAAGGCGCTTTTCATCTCTTCTTGTGCTGCTGCTGTAGCTCTCCTCACATCATCTGTCACACATCAGCTTAGTTTGTCCACTCCCGGCTCAGTTTCTGTACCCGTCGTCACCCTGTGCGATGCTTTGCTCTTTGTCGTATATAACTGCTGGTGTTAAAGTGTCGGTGGCTTCGCTGTGTGTCTTTACGTTTCTCTGTTTGTTCCTTCTCCATCCTTATCGTCTAAACCCTGAACTCCGCTATCGCCTAGCTGGAATAAAAAGGTAAGTGCTTTCATCCCCCTTTCTTTCTCTCGTTGTCCATCGCTCGTCCTCTGTGATGACGTCCTGTCTGTTTTTTCTGGGGGAGGACAGAAACACGGCGATACTGACAGTGTGTCATGGTAACAGTGCCACACTGTAGGTCAGGGTTAAATGCCATGTGGCTTTTTTCACCAGGACGTGATAGCTGAAAAGCTCACTTTTTTACAGTATGTGGGTTGGACGCCGTGAGAAAAGCAGCAGTGTTTGTGTGACGCGGACGGCCCGTAGTTTACTTGCTCGTTGGTGGAAAATGCAACAACGTTTAGATGGTTGAACATTGGTGAGCTGCTACGACACTGATGTATGTCACTCAGGGTCAAACTGGTGTGTTACGTTGTGGGTCCAACAAACACCCAAATAAATGTTTTCCCAAAGAAAAATCATTTTCTCAATGAAAACAAGTAGGTGTGTTTGCCTCCATAAAATGTTTCCTGTGAAGACGGATGTTTATCTGAAAAAGACTGTATGCAGGTAGAAAGTTGATGCTGCTGGCTTTTGTTGGAAAAAGCACAAAAGATATTTTCATAATATTCATAATTCATAAGTCAGAATAATTGACTGAAACATGGGCGCAGACCAACACCTAATGAAGGAAAATTGGCTTTCTGCGAGCATTTCTGTAGGTGAACTCACTGAGTGAGCTGTTCTTGACAAAACCACTGCGTCCCACTGCGTCCCACCGCGTCCCACCGCGTCCCACCGCGTCCCACCGCGCCCAGCAGCGGGTAATTACCAAGTTAAAAGTGCCAGCCAATGAATTATACAGTGTGGTTACTGCACAATTAAATCAAGCAGCAATCAGTCAATGTTACCAAATAAGTACTTGTCAGTTCACACCCGAATCAACGCAATGAATATTATAACATCACGCCCCCCCCCCGCCGCCCTCCCAACCCCCGACTCAAATCTAGCTACGTTCAAACATTGTGACTACAAAGACGCAATTAAAAGTTTTGTTTTCCAGCTGCTAAGAGGTGAAGCTGAGCTTCACAGTTAATGCTTTTTTTTAATCAAAGATGACTGATGATTTCCTTTGTTTTCATACATTTCAGTACACAAAATTATAAAATGCCTTTAACAAACCTGCAAACCTGCAAATCTGCAAAACATTGACTGACAACATGTTCCATCAGATGAGCATCTTCCTGCAGCAGCGAATGCGCATTTTAAGGTTTTTGTATTCTGTTTAGCTTCTCAATGTGTTGAGCTTAGCGACCACACCGCTAATTAGCCAAACATCACCTGGTACTATGCACTGTACATACCGTACATTAGTGCTCGGTAACAATGGCAGTTTGAAATCGCAATTAAACGCAGACATCTTGAGGTTTGAGTTTTATTTATTTGCACAATTAATAAAGAAAGAACCAAAGATAAAATATATTCACAGTGCAGGAAGAGGTAGGACGCTGACTGGGCTTATTCCAAGCCTCCACCTAAATAATATCTGGATATGACATTATTATAGATAGCATGAAATTAATATACTTACGGTATAATTACCTAAAATATTTTTACAAGATATGAAACAGTTGCATTTAAATGCATTTGAATGCGCAAAAATCATCAATGAATGCAAAAGTAGTGTAGTGCACACGTTTATTTATGCCAACACTTCAAAGGTGCTTCTTAACAGCAGTAGTACCCTTTTACGCAGTAGCAGTTAAAATATTTATTGTAAATCTCAACCTAAACTTAATTAAACTAAATTATTGAAATTAAATCAAATATAAAACCAAAGCTATGTTCCACTGCCAGGGTGATAACGTTTTATTTAACTAACTAATTTCCTTTGAAGAATCTGAGTGAAATAAACATACTTTCAATGATGCAAAATGTTCACGTATTTCTCTATAAGAGATAGATGAGGAAAAACCTCAGAAATATATTTCTATAGTCTCTTACAAAGGTCAAAGGTCAACACACACTCGCTCCCGTTGTTTGTCCAAAGACCACTGAACTCTTTAGAAGCCAGCTTGAGATTTACAGCGACAGCGTTTGCTTCTTTGTCACCGGGTGATGTGGTGGTTCACGTTTAAACGGTAAACTTGATTCATACATTAACGACACGGGCTTCTTTGCCAGGAGCCACCAGCCCATCCAGACTCAAACGTTCTTCTCTACCACTGACCTGTAGCTTCAGCTCCCATATTTAATAGATAATACAATATTAACCAGTTTTCCCTGCTGACAAACCCTTCTGCTTGTTTCGCTCTGAAATCACTTGTTTGACTAAATATTTCGTTAGTTAGGGACAGTTTGACTCACGCTAGCTGTGACGCCTTGGTGGAGTCACCAACAGATGGACGTGGGGCTCAGAATAAGGTAAATTGATTGAAGTGTGTATCACCTCAGGGTAAAGATTGTGGCCATGACCAATACGATCCTTCAAGTTACTGCACGTTAGAAAAATCTGCAAAACTGGATAAACCTTCCAATTCAATGTGACTGAAATAATGTGTCCACACGTGATTATTACAATGCCGTTTCCTTCAGGACAACTGGTCCAGGTAAAGGTAACATCAATCTCCAGTATTGATATTCTTAAATCAGGCCCCTGGTACCTCACTGATGCTGTGGTTGTGTTTGTCTTGTAAAAGCAGCAACGTGAAGCACGGAGCGCGGAGGTTGGGACGAACGGGTGGCTCAAATAAAACACAGAGTTGTGTTGAGTTCGCTTCAGTGAGAAGCTTCGACCAAATCAGAAGCGTATCTTCACGATCAGCTGTGCAGTGTAACGGGCTGGAGAGTTTTGGTGTGGGGGGGCATCAATGAGCATCCTAGCCACCTTAATGACAGGAGGACCTTAGGTTTGTTTCGTGGTCGGACCACAAAAAAAAAAAGCCAGCCGTGTGCTAAGTAGCCCCAAATGATTTTGACGACCCGAACCCAAAAGCAGCAGCATTTGCCTCCTCTGGATCTATAAATGAATAGCAGCCATCAATCATTGTCAGGGCCGTCCTTCCCCAGCCCAGACGGACGAGGGTGACTAGTGTCACTGCCTGTTACTGTCCAGCCCTCCCGCCTCCATTCCCGCTCACTCACATCAAACAGACCTGACAGGCCACCAGCTACAGACCAAGGGGGCACCACAATGTCACCTTTTTAGATATTTGGGGGAGGGTGGGGGGAGTTGTCGAGGGGACACAATCAGCTCCCAGCATCCCGCTCTTTGTTTTGTTTGTTGATTGACAGCTGGGGAGCCTTCGTTGGGCAGTGAAGAGGACTTTGGTTGAAAAATGTCTTGTATAACCTTCATTCACACGTGTTCCAGGTTTGTCCTGACTGACAGGACAGTCCACTCTTCTGCATATTCAAGATCAGAGTTGATTTGAATCTGATAAGCTTGTGTATTCTATTACTGTGTGGGCCGGAAAGGAGTTTAGCGTAGATACCTCTGCAGCATAAACCAAATCCTAAAATATAAAGTGAAATAAATCTGCACAAATCAATAGGTGCTGTTACCGGATAGCAAGGAGACCTATTAGAGCCGAGGTCTCAGAAGGTAGTGTACGCTTACCTTGTTTTAGCTCTTTGGACTTCAGGGCATTGAGGTTCAACATTGGCTCACATATGATCACATGATTATATAAGATTTGCATTGAGTCCAAGAGAGCCGATTCAGAGCAGGTGCCCCTTTGTACCCCAACAGCCAAGTCTGTTGGAGCCAGCTCGGAGGTATGTATGGATTCACAGCCCACAGAAGCCCTGCATATGCCCCCCCCGATCCTTTAAACCCTGCTGTAGGTAGAGCCCACCACCAGGAAAGCCAACACACATGTGCTTTAATCCTCCTACTTGCAGATTGTGTGGTGTGGGGCCACACCAATCTCAATCTGCTCCTTCTGACATGTTCAGCACAGCGATATTAACTAGGGGCCACTGACACTTCGGTGAAGTGGAATTAGAAACGGGAATGTTGCTGTGAAGCGACCGTTGGATTGTTTCGTGGGTAAGGATGTTTTGTAGCCGGGTTACTCTTGAGCTTCCGGGCTGAGGTGCGTGGGGTAACATGTAGCTGCCCGATGAGCGACCAATGCAACATTCTGATTTACCGGGCAGCGGACGTCTCTTAGAGTAGTCGTAGTCTTTGTCTTGTGCAGGCTGTCCATTAACTTTTAAAGTAACTGCAGAATCTGAAGGCTTCTATTTCAGTGCCTCTTCAAATTGAATCCACTGGGTGAATAACGGAGTCCTCATCACTGCCTGCGTCCCTTCGGTGTCCCTGTAAACCAATTGGGCGGCTCACACACGACGTGCCGCAGTGCTGAGATGGTTTCAGCGGCTGCTTCCCATCCACACACACTGATATCGTACTATGGAACAATTAAAAGGACATATTAGACATTGTATGAGATTTGATATGCTCTAATCTTTTCCTGGTGTTTTATTTCCCCCTGATCTTCCTCTGAACAAGATTACATTTCAAAACCTGCCCTTCCACTTTTTATTATAAATAGCCGATTCTCACTGCTATCTGTTATTCTGGTTTTTTAATCATGCGAGCTGCCACTGTTCATTTTAATGAGGAATTGATCAAAATCAAGATAGTAATACAATACTCGAGGAAGAGTCCTATACAAGTACAATTTTGAGGTATTTATTTGCGCGTGGGGACAGTTTGGAGTTTGAAGTGTAAGCTCACATAGCTAGAGCGGTGAGCCAGTCTCTGAGCTGCAGAGAGACAAGTGTTCAACTATTTCCCGTTCATTATAAAACTGTGGGGAGACTAAATAGACTCAGTTCCATTCACCACTAAATATAGCCACCATCAGTTAGAACCACCATTGGATAAAACCACCATTAGATAAAACCACCATTAGATAAAACCAGTTTAGGTATCCTTTAGTGGTTGTGCGTTTGCGTTTCATTGTTACTTTAAAGGTTCATTCTGTTCCAGACAGAATAAATTGAATGCCATGGTTTACAATATACAGTTTTTACCTTTCAGGCACTGACGTTTGTCCCCTGTTCATTCCTCTGTCTCCCTGTCTCGCCCTCATTGGATGGTGAATGCATGTGCACAGATGCTGACAGAGCCCAGAAGCACGGAATGGACGAGTTTATTTCAGCCAACCCATGTAACTTTGACCACGGCTCGCTGTTTGAGCTGGTACAGCGCCTCACATTGGACCACAGACTCAACGACTCGTACTCCTGCCTGGTGAGCAAAGACCTTCTAATGTAACCAAGAGAATGTGCAACCTGCTTTCTGTGTGAAGAGAAATCTGGTGGTACAAAGTATTATTGCACTCTCTATAATAAAACACCTGGTTTGATACTTTGTACACATACCTTCAGAAAGGGCAGAACATGTAAATGCAGTTTTAAGGCAGTTTGGATACAACATGAGTGGAAAAAGTTCACTTCTCACTTCTTTTGAGTTCGTTGTTGTTTGTTCGCGCACTCATGAATTGCATTGAGAACAACATTCATACTTTGCTTGTTTAGTTTTTTTTTTTTTTCCAAACTCGGTTCTGTAGGTCACATCACTGCTCCGGTACATATAGTTAGTAGTAGCAGTATAATAAAAGTGTTACAGGACATGTTGGGCATGTTGTGACTGATAGGCCAACTCAAAGCATGGCAATGAATCGCCTTATTCGGGGGCGGTCAAAGACCCAGGGGTCACCCTCCTACCTGTTGTGCCTACAGGTAAATGTACAAGATGACGTGAAAGGTGCTGCCTGGCTTCCACTGTAAGTGTTTAATGGCGTCTGTTTGCCTCACCCCCCTCAGGGCTGGTTCAGTCCCGGGCAGGTGTTTGTCTTAGACGAGTACTGCGCTCGCTACGGCGTTCGAGGCTGCCACAGGCATTTGTGTTACCTGAGCGATCTGCTGGAGAGGGCGGAGAACGGAGCCATGATCGACCCCACCCTGCTGCACTACAGCTTTGCCTTCTGTGCCTCCCACGCACATGGAAACAGGTACACGTCAAGGTGCTGGCTGCTCCCATGTCCTTCACGTAACACCTAACCAATGACTAACCATGAATGCTATTGCTATTGTTTTTTCCTGGTCAGAACTGATGTTGTCCACATACATACCCACACATAGGACGCAATATGTGACTCCCACTCTCATTTTTTAGGCTTTTGAACATTTCTATTTGTTTTCACTCGCATGTTCTTTTGCATGTGTTTTGCACGCTCATTTTTCTTTTTGCTCTTGTCTATTTTCCCCGTACAACCTCTTTACCTTGTTCACTTTCATGCACCGCCCTTCCCGACACGGTTCCCAAATCCCTGCATGTCCACGCGATCCCACTTAGTCAGCGCGTGCCCGAGTTGCTAAACTGGCCAGTATCTGAGGCCCAACTCGAACAAGCCCTGTCCCTCTGGGCCCCTGAGCTTCCTGCCCAAACTGCTAAGAGAGAACTCAGAATCATTGAGTTCATGAAGAAAAGGGACTTCAGGTCCCAGGTTTTCTCACCAACAAGGAGGTAAGTAACTTCCCAGTCTGTGTGGCAAAGTCTAACTAAAAAGAAAGACAGAAACGTGTCTTTAAGAAAGTGTAACTATCGTGTAACTGTGACTTGTGAGATCAGGAAACTAGCTGATGAAAACACAAGTGCTACTGCAGTAAAGATAAAATGTCCGGTTCAACATTAGTTTCGTTAGCTTTGGGCAGGAGTCGTCTGGCCTTCGATCCCCGACGTAGCCTGTTATCTAAGTTGCAGTATTTACCTCCTGTCTAATCTGCTGTGATGTGCTCGGACATCACAACTGTCAAGATCACAGTTGGCTGTCTGCGGCTGATGCGTAACAAAGATAGACGAGGGCCACTCCGGCGCTGAGGGCAAAGGTCAGGGAAGGCTGTCGCTCTTTGGTCTGAACTCAGCCATCAAAAAGTTGTGTCTTGTTGCCAGAGGACAGTTCATTATGGCGCACAGTTTATTAATAGTTATGAAAATAAATACACATCCTTGTGAGTTTAGGTCCAAATTCACATTTCTCATTGAATCCAGCCCCAAAATAATGAGTCCTATTTGTCTACGTATCCACACACATCACACCGAGAACCTGCTCCGCCGGTCCAGCCGTCGTGCCTGGAGGTCGAGGCATGACAGGTTGACAGGTTGTCATGTGCGACGGCCGAATGTCTCCGCTGCCGCCGCCGCTGCGTGTGCCCCAGTGCACACACCTCACTCAGACCCCCCCTCCACCCAGACAAACATGCAGGACCACACCCCACCCCCACCCCTGCCTCCTAATAGCCTGCTGGCCTGGAGGCGCGGGCGCTCCGAGTTGGACTCGGTCGCGCGGCCGCCTGCTAAAGTGTCAGGGTTGGACTTCTGTCCAGCTAAATGTCGACTCCATTCACATCCACTGTTTGGCTTTAAAATAAACGGAGAGGATGTATTTGATATAAATATGCATTTCACTTGTTGCCCAAGTAAAAACTGTGACGTCAGAGGATCGGAATCTTATGCAAAACGTACATTTTCTTTTAATACATGTCCGTGCAAACGTCTCTTTAACGTGTGTGAGATCAAAAAGAACTAATGATAGAAACGTGTTAATTCATTAATTTTATTTTGTAGCCCAAAATCACAAATTACAAATTGGCCTTTGAGGGTTTTACACACGCGGCATCCCCTGTCCTCACATCGGCACAGGAATGAATACGGAAAACCCACATTGACTAAATAAATGAATCTCAAAGTCAGTTAAAAAATGTAAAATGTTTCGGAAAATAACTTTAGTCTGTATATTTATCTCTCAATGAATCACCTAATCTGACAATCGTTTTTTGAGGATTCATAAAATGTCAGGAGTAGCGGCGTGTCACTCACATGATGAGTAACTCACCTTTGGGAAACTGAAACCAGGTGGCCAGGTTAGAAAATCGGCTTGTTTCCACTTAAAGCTGCTGTTTGGGAGTTTTTCCCATATAAAAAACAGATTCCTAAAACGTGGTATCTTACCTGGAGGCCTCAATGTGGAGGTGTCCTGCTTATTTAAAGGAGAAGTGAATGTGTTGCTGGCTCGCCGCCTGTCTGTCACTGATGGCTCATTTGCTTGTTGTCGTCATCGGAGCTGTGAAGTCATGAGGTCAAGCAAACATGAGGAAGCTGCCAAGAAACAATGCTCTGAGATAGAAAGTGAGCCCTGCAGGACTTAATTAGTGTGAAATCTCCCTCTTTTATTTCCTGTCACTGTGTGAGCGGTTAGGTGGCTTTTTACTTTGCATTCCTCTCCCAGTTTTTGAGTCAGCTTTTGTACGCTAATGTCTTTCTAATGCACGCGATCACCGGGAACTGAACCAAGGGCGAAAATAAGGCAAAATATAATCTTATTTTTACATGATGAAGGTCACCACGGGGACAAAACATTCAAGCTCAGTTAATACTCACCGTGGTGAAGCCAGAAGAAAAGGATGCCAGATAAACGTAACTTCACGATCACGTGACACAAATAGCTCACTGATAAAAACACTATTTACATTTCAGACGATCATACAAATAATTACAATTACCTCTTCAAGCAGGAGGTCTTAAAAGTCTTAATTGAATAGTTTACAGGTTATTCAACTTTGTTTCTTTTCACATTTAAAACTAAATGTTTTCAATGAATGTGAGATATGGACTCGTGGTTAATTAACTCTTGTCGTTGTGGAGGTCCATCGTCATCTACAGGCCGAACTGCGTCTTTTTATTATTCAGACAGAATAATGCAAAGAGCAGTTCATAGTGTATGAATGGCAAATGATATACAGGCAGATATACTGTATAAATATGTAGAATCAAAGCTTCATTCGTGTTCATACAAAGAGCACCAGTTGGGTTTGATGGGGTGTCGAGGCCAATAGCCAATGGGCTCTGAGATCGCCCGCCTGCAGACCGGCGCCCACCGGGCGCCGCGTGCAGTCGGCCCCCTGATGTTCAGCAGCGGAGCCCCACAGGTGGCCGCGACACACCGGCAGCGGCTCATAGCCTTGAAAACCCAGAAGAAGATGATGCTCAGACAATTGGCACTTCTGTAAATCTAACAAGCAAATACCCCTCCGCCCCCCCCCTCAAACTCACACACAAACAGGGACAGTTTCTCACTGTCTGCTGAAATGACATGTCAAAAGGGGGAGGTGTGGGTCTGTGTGTGTTGGGGGCAGAGGGGGGCTTGGATAGAGAGAGAAGGAGAGTGTCATGTCTCCTGCTTCTCATCATGCTGTCATGGCCACCAGTCCAACGCCTCTTCTGTCACATGCACTCTGCTCACACTCCACCCAGACCCAACCATGTCACAAGCGATAAACACATTGGACACACACACACACACACACACACGCCCGCTTGAATGACTGTAATAGTTAAAATAATAATAATAAAAACTAACAATTATTTCCAGGAGACCTCAGCCCATTAAGTAATGTTACCATGTGAAATGTTGCATGCTTGTCATTCAACTAAATGAATTGATGTCTAAGGAAACATGTTGTTACTTCAAACCAAATCTGGTTCTTTATAAGAACAGAAGAAAGTGATCCCATGTTCATCTCTTTGCATTCCTGCTTTAAGTGTAGAAAACAGGTTATTGGATTTGATTTGTTGACACTTCATCAAAGCCATCGCAGCACTGATGTTAGAGGATGCACAGCAATACATTTATTTATAAAGATCCATTTAGAGCCAAAGGAACCAGGGAACCAGGGAACTCTTCAGAGGGGGTCATGGGGAGGGATCATCCGGTAACCACGTGATTGGCGGTTCCCTTGCCGTAGTGTCCTTGAGCAAGACACAGAACCCTAAATGACTCGCTCCTGATTGTTTCAAATGCGGAGGAATTTCATTTTCATGCATAATATGTAAAAGAATTGTATTTAGCTCCGAGCTCTTGATTTACCTCTGGCTGCACAAAACAAAATGGTGACATCAAGTATTCAGAACCGTAATCTACAAACCAACGTGTCTACGTCCTGTCCTCATATACAGCTTCCCAGAACCTAAGAATCTGAAGCTTGTGATAGATCTTCATGTATTTAAAACATTCATACTCAAAAGTAGAGACATTATCATTGTGGAAGGTTCTCTACGTGACTTCAGGAGAAGCTTTAATGTTCTGTATCTGCTGTTGACTTTCAGGCCTGATGGTATCGGCACGGTGACCGTGGAGGAGAAGGAGCACTTTGAGGAGATCAAGGAGAGGCTACGGGTGCTTCTAGAGAACCAGATTACACACTTCAGGTAGGAGCCGTGTACCAGCACCGTTTGCCGATCTCAGGCCGAGCTGGACTTCACACGTAAAATCCCATCTCCAGGTACTGCTTTCCGTTTGGGCGGCCAGAGGGAGCGCTGAAAGCAACTCTGTCGCTGCTCGAAAGGGTGAGTGGCTTCTAAAGTTCTCCTCCATTGTCCCGTTCCTCTTCGTTTTCCCTTGTGAAACCACCTTTCCCTATAGCTCTTTAAAAAAACGCCAATACATCTTCTGAAAAAGCGGCAGAAAATCCTTCTGCTAGAATAATCCGTCCGGCCGACGTTTGTCAAAGTTTAACTTGCAATAATATGCATTTGCCGTCCGCTGACCGTACTTTTGCTGCGTGTTCCCTTCGTAGGTCCTGATGAAGGATATCGTTACTCCGGTTCCTCAAGAGGAAGTCAAGGCTGTGATCCGTAAGTGTCTGGAGCAGGCAGCTCTGGTCAACTACCAGCGCCTGTCGGAGTACGCCAAACTGGAAGGTAAGTCGCTGCTCTTTTGTGTTCCCTGTTACAGTGCAGTGACGTGTTCTAAACCCAGCGGGGCGGAGCTTATGAAATGGGCCTATTTCAGGTGGTTGTCAGTGAAACAAGCTAACAGAACTTTGTGGGAGAGTCTTTCAAAAGTAGTATGCATGTTCTACAAATGTGAACAAGCAAGGTGACGATGAAGTTCCAATGAGAAACGCCGATGAATCACCTGAGGAAGTGGAGTTTTCCCAGGACGAGGTGTGTAGACGTCATGGTCAGCCAAGTTTATCTTAGCCGTGCTCGGAGGGGAATTTATTTTTGCATCCAGTACAATTCTAATCTCTAAAGCATTATTGGACATGACGCTTTGGGAAAAAACCCTATTCACTAATTATTTGTTTTAAATGACAATTGACCTCAGCCTTGGTTGGCTTAGCGTTGCCTTCTATACAACTGATACACAGCTGGTTGCAACAGATGTGCATTTTAATAGAGAACGAAGCAGCTATACAATACTTATATTTTTGCGTTGATAAGTTTCAATTCAGAAATTCAAATCAAAGCCCAACCTAATTTCTTTCTTGTCACATGTCACATGTTCTCAATGGCCTGATTGTTTTTTTTAACACCATTTTGCTTTATCTTCAGCTTATGCTAGTAGCAAATGTAGTCTACAGTAAGTAAAAATGCATTCAAATCAATACATATGCTGACTTGGTGCCCCCATGCCTCAGCCTCTTCTTAGCTGTGTCCCACTTTGACCTCCCCGGTAGTTGAAGTGACGATCCGTCTATTCCCTATTCTCATTCCCACTTCCTCTCTTTTCCTTGTCTATTGGCTTTTGCTTCTTGTCATTTGCTGCTGTTTGAAAACAGACACAATGGGACTGCTTGTTGTGGCAGTTCAGGGTTTTTCTTTAGTAGGAATCATAAGCAGACCTCACCGGGTCCCATTTAGGTCAGATTTTTTTTCAGGTGTTTACAAAAATACGACAATTCCCCAAATTTCTCTCCTGTTTCCTTCTCTGTGAGTAGCAGCCTTTTGAGACGCAGCGTTAGACACTGAAACTATTGGTGTTTTCTAAAAGTTTCAAGGCTTTAAATGTTCCAAAAAGACGGTATCGATGCTCCATTGTGAACGATTCACAAGTGCTGATGTTAACAAGTTCCACTCATTTGTTTTTAAATCAATTTGAATAGAATTGCTGTCAAAGGTTAATCCCCAAAAGTTTTCTATTAAAAATAATAATATTACCAAAAAGAGGGTCAAGCATTTTTCTCTTTCTGACATGTACATTATGTCATATTTGTCCCTCTTTACCTTAAAAACTGTAATAAATATAAATGCTAACTATTGCTGATCAAAGCCAAGTAGTGTTTGGTTGTGTTCAGGCCAGATCACCTAATATGCTGGTAGTCAAATCAATATTTAAGATTGATCATTTCAAGACAATGTCTATCACCTCATTGGAACCTCAACCTCAGTTTCTCTGTTGTGATTGTTAAATATCCCCAGAACTGTTTTCGTTTACACTGGTAGAAGCGATTCACCTCTGCCTGGCAGAACGAATGGTTAATCTCTCCGAGCCGCGGACAGTCTGATTGAACCCTTGTATGAGGCCATCTGCCAACATCTGCCAACTTGCCAGAGCTCGGCTACCTTTCCCCAACTCACAGCAGCCTCAATTAGTTTAGATTAGTTGTCTGGCTCAGGAATTTAAATCAAGGATAATGGATTATGGCATTTTTATGAAAACATATTTGTTAGCTCTCAAAAGGTAGCATATGTAGTCTAAATGCATTAACTAATGAATTGTTTTTTATCTATCATTGTAACATATATGATCATGCGGAAACCGATAGTAGTTTCTACATGTCATTTTATGTAATTACTTTTTAAATTCCCAAAGGAGTTTGTTTTCCCTTAAAAAATGCTTGATGTTCTACTACACGAAGCCACTAACTGAAATTATTCCCTAATGATTTGCTAGGAATCATAGGAATAAACATATATCAGGACCTTTGAAAATGAGAAGATCATTATATTAATAATAATTATATTTCTTATTAGATAATGTTAAATAATATGAAATGAAACATATTGCACCTTTGATAAAACACATTCTAGATTGGATTTAATTGAACATTGATACATGAATATGCTTTGATGGCACGTGTGAGGTTGTGAGATGTTAAACAGCAGCACAGAGGATGCAGGTACGGGCCCTGAAGGCCTCTCATTGGTCGAACCCCGGTGCCCTGTGTGCTCGTCTCTCTGACCCCGGCCTCTTGCATGCCTCGGTATCGTCCCTCTCCTCTGTAGGGAAAAAGAGAGAGATGTATGAGCATCCTGTCTTCTGCTTGGCGTCTCAAGTGATGGATTTAACCATTCGTGAGTACCTTCCTCCTCCCCAGCCCTTCTGCACCCTTCTGTTCCTGCACCACCGGGACGCACGGCAACAACAACAAGCAAACTCACCTTTTTGTCGTCCCCGAAGTCCTTTAGTTTGTTTGTATCTTTTTTATTTACGTCTGTAAAGTCTACAGTTACAGCATTTTGATTTGTTTCAAGCTCAATTTGTTTTGCGATGCCACCAAAACCTTCTTTTCTAATCTTTCTCTGAGCTTGTTTTTTGTCCTTCCCAAACCACCTGTCTGTCTGCGACTTGAATGCATTTTTACTTTGCTTGTGTGTAAAACCTTGTCTAGTGTTTAAGATCACGGTACATTCAGACGAGACCCCACATCCTCTTATTGCCTGAGTGAAACCTCTTTGAATACTTCCACAGTGAAATGCCCACACTAATGGCATTTATTACAACTATTTGAATAGCTTTTATCATGTATTGAATAACTTTTTCTTCTTTACCACCTCTCACTACCTTCTATTCATACTTGAAAGCTGTTCTTTTTTTAAACAAATCGACCGTTACTGAGAACAATCTGAAGGATCCAGGTGACGTTTTCCTGTATAACCTCTGTACATCTGCCTTAAAGCATGCGACCGTAGACCCTGTTACTACCACACAAGCTTCACAGAGGTTTATAGATACAACTGTGAAGGAAAACACTGTTTGCATGCAGGTGACATTTAAAGTATTTTAGTTTTCTTTTCTGGATTGGAGACCAAAAAAAAAAGAGAGTCAAGAAAAGTCAAATATCCCAGAGAAACAGTTCACGATGAAAAGCCACGACTTGAGCTGTCCTGTCTCACAGTGACATGATTCTGTCCACTTGCCACGCTGATCAAATGTTTTTTTTTAATTCATGTAAGAAAAATAAAGTTCTTTTTGTTACCAAAAGTACACGTTTAAACTCTGCCATAAAAGCTGACACACATTGCTAGATCCAAACAGTCGGCCCCTTTGAGCCGGTGCACAAGTCCCATTCTGCGGAAGCTTCCAGCCATGTTAGCATGACAGCAGGCGACGCTCCATCAGCGCGCTGTGTTGTCCCCCGCTGAAACCAGTGCTGACTCTGACGTGGCCACTTCCAAACCCCGCGCAGCACTGTGGCTGTTCTTTTCCAGCGGGAGGATGCTGCTGGTGTTAAACCGGATCACGACACACTCACTATGTTGCTGTGTTCGAGACCCGTTTAAAACGGGCCTGTCCCTCGGCCCGCTGAGGTGCTGCTGCTTGCACCTTTCTGACAACCACTCTTGCAAACATCGAACGTCATCATAAAACGGCACATTCTCTGGATGTGGCATCAATTCAACCCTCTCGCAGGTCAAATCATAAAAGACAAGAGGTTTGCATTGCAGTTTAAGTTCATTCAAACCAACCGGACTGTGCGTTCAGATGTACGACGTCACACAACACTGCTGCATGATGACTGTTCAATGTACATGATGTTTGCATCCCTCATCACGCACATGTTCCTCTGGATGACATCATCACTGTCCCGTCACAGTGACAGAAATGTACATCATTCACTGCATAATATGGACCGTCACCACCACGAGCCTTGCAGCACTCCCATGTGTTGATTGTAAAGACGCAATGATCCTAGAAGTGTGATTGCGGCTTCATAAAAGGTGTTGCATACTTTCGATTGTATGCAACACGGTATCTATTAACTCCGGTATGATTTCAATAACCAGAATCTGACCAGCAGTGAGGAGCCGTGTGCACGATTGTTCACACGTGTACTTTCACCTGAAACTAAGAATGTTTCTAAGCCGTTTAGAAGGTGACTTGTTTTGCGTTTTAATGTTAAAGCGACAGAAGAAGAATTCATCTCAACTCAATTCATTTTATTTGGAACAGCCCAAAATTACGAATTTGCCTCAGAGGGCTTTACAGTGTGTACACAGCCTGCGCTTCACAATGTAGCCGCTAAATGCTGTTTATTATTCCTGAGTCTAATAATCAGAAGTGACCAATGTTCTAAATCCATCTCACCGCTTGATGCCACTAAACCCTTCAAACTCCTTTTGTTTTATTTAAGCTTTTATATTCAGGAGGCCACAAACACATGGCAGTCTTTATCTCCAGCCCTAATTATGACGTCGGTATTTCGTGCCTGTATTTGGAATATGGCCGAGACCTTGTGTTTTAGGCTCAGCTTCTCCAGCTACACCCACATTATGGAGCGACTTAATGCAGTGTTTAACATGCACGCTGGGCACTGAGTGAAGCAATACACTCGTTTATATCTCCGTTTATAATCTTTGGGTTGCATGCATTCAGTAGTAACAAGGGACAGGAAGAAGGTCAGACTCTGCCGTTGGCGTTGACCTTTGATCTTTGTGCTCCAGAGAACGTAGGCCGGTTAGTCACCCCTGCTAAAAAACTGGAGGACAATATTCGTCTCGCCGAGCTGGTGATTGAGGTGCTTCAGCAGAATGAGGAACACCATGCTGAGGTCAGTGCATCTACACACACACACACACACACACACACGGGCTGGTTTGGAGCGGTGATCGTTTGGCCTTTAAGGAGACGGTACAAGTGGCCCTGATTGAAACCGGCTAATGGGTTTGTCCCTCTGCTGATATCATGAACCTCATTACTGCTCAACAGTAAGCATGATGTACAGCTGAGGACGTGGAGCATTTACACCGCGCAGCACTGCACGTGATCTTTGTGTAATAAAGATGTTATTGGTGAAGTACGAGACCTGCGCTCACTCTAAATATTGACCTTCTCCCACTTCCAATCCTTTTAGATGTCAGAGGCGGGATGAGAGCTGTTGTAACTCTGTAACTGACTGTTATAACAAAGGGACTGTTAAGATGACCAATGTTTGGTCAGTTAATCCAAATGATTTACTGCAATGTTTTCTGCAAAGATGTGATGGAGCTACTGGCGTGGTAAATTGACACCGGAGCTGGCCCGTCGTTTGAGTATACTTCAGTGTAAAGGAGGGCACATGGATTGAGTATGTAGTATGCAGGATGCTGGTTTGGGTTTTGGAACATATTTACCTCATTCAGTCATCTGAAAATGAAGAAAATGTGTCTCTTTTATTGCAAAATACTTCTTAAATAACTTATTTGCAGTAATGAATTCACTGTGATATCCACCTGCACACAAACAGCAGCCAAAACATGAAATGTGTTGTCTTCTGACACAAAAGTGGAAGGAAGTTTGTTAATTACCACTATGGGAATAAAAATGTAGGCAAGAAGCATCCGTGCAAAGCTTGGTGTTCGCGCCACAAAAGGAAAGATTTGATGTTTATTCAGATTAAAATTGTAGAATCCACAGCATCTGATGATCAAGGCGAAGGGAAAACCTGAATTTACACAGCTTTAATCCATCCTCTCTTTTTAGCAGCTTCCTGTGACTGCTGTGCTGTCTACACTAATGCAACTCCTTATTCAAAGCTGACTTATTCCCTCTCTGCTTTTTATTTTCAATGATTCATTTGGTTTTCGGGGAAATGTTTGAACAGGGAAAAGAGGTACGTTGATTGTCCCAGTGCCATACGCTCTGTCTTCTACCCGACCCGCTCTGTACATTCTGTGCATGCACTTGATGATGCGCTGTAGTGGATCATTATTCTTTCCCTACTCAACAATGACCAGGAACCCCTTTTTGGCTTGTGGTCACTGCTAATCAAGTGCTCTTTGCCAATGCTTTTTAGCTTCCAAGCTAGCAAAAGCCTTTGGTGATAGAGAACAGAAACAAGCACCCTTAACAATGATTTTTTTTTTTTTGAGCATTTGAAGTGCCGTTCTGAGAAAGCAAAGTGCAGAGTTGTGATTTTTTGCAATGTATTTTCTCGCGTACAACTCTGTGACTTGTTTTTGAGGAGAAGGTGTTGTGTCACCTTTCCTTCCCTTAAAGGAACCCATTTGTCTCCATTGGATCCTTCAGCACACGCAATGGAGGAAATGCGAGGCATGCCTTGCGTAATCAGAGATGACATGATCTCTCGATGAAATGCACTGCTGCTCAAATAACGTGAGCACATTGGTTTACCAATTCCAACCAGCGTTAGACTCACGCCAGAGTGCGTATTGGTATCAATTCCTTTTGTGTTTTGGTCAATTCAGAATGAAAACAACATTCAGAACTTAAGCATATCAGAATTCAATGTACTTGTATTAACTTTTTACTTGTGTGGCTCTAAAGCTGGTTATTGCTCATTTTATTTACAAGCCTTATTGTGTGCCTATCATGTACTTCAGCACTGTCAATTACGACATTCAACCTATGCAGATGATCTACAGTTTAGTCAAAAGATGTATGTTCATAGTCCCATAACACCCTTCTGTCCTGCCACAATGAACAGCATTTTACTGTCGCCAGATAAGTGGTACCGTTGTCTGTAAGGACCGTTGTGTAGGGCGGAATTATCGTAGCAAATGGCTCCCTAAATAAACCAAAACCAGTCTTGTCTTCATCCACTATTATTTTTTTCTCCATCTCTGAAAGTCGTTGCTCACATTGTAGCTCGCCAGAGCCTCGAATTACTGGTTATCAATTCAAGTTACACATTATGGTTTCTGGCAATCTACGTCACTGCCACATGACATGTTCAGTGTGTAACTTTAACCAACCAGTTTACGTTGATTGATTCTTTCCTCGAGTCTTTCTTTTGCACTTGTCCTGAAATATGGACTTAATCACAGCGTGGGGTTCACGTGGGACCTCCGTTGATCCATCCTCCCAACTTGCTTCCTGCTTCGAGGTTGACGCTCTTTATACAGTAGAACCTTATTCAAGATCACAGGAATTTGTTGGAGTCAAAAAAAGACTGAAAGGCCCTGAAGATTTGATAATCGCCCCCGAAGTTGGTGAAGTTCTTTTGAAATGCTTGGTGGGCTACATGTTTTTATTTGACCACTTATTTACCTAATGTAAAAGTGATGATTACATGATTGGCACTGGTGAGATGGACCTTTCTGCAAACCAGCACACACCTATAGCCAATGCTACAGGCTCCCATGGCAAGTGCATGCCCCCTCCCCTTCCACCACCACGAAACCCATGGGTACATTCACATTACAGCGTTAAAAGCTTGATGTGAATGAGCAAATTCCATGGTTCCTCAGGGGTCCATCTAAAGAGGCCTGGCCAGAGTGCGGGTGCATGGAGGAAAGTGAGTGTTTTTGATGTGCATGAGAGAGCGCAGTCCTAACAGTCACTCCATTGCGTCGCCTCAATGGGGGGATACGAGCGCGACGCAGCTCGCTAGCTCCTTTCTTCTGATTGACTGGCACAAGGAGCTGTGGGTGAGTGTTTAAGTAGCTCCCTGCCAAGCCTGTCAAGGAGCTGCTGCTGTGTCCTCAGTGGGCCAGCAGAAAAGTGTGGGATTTTCCGTGCCCAAGCGCTGTTTTTACTGCTTTGAGTCGCGAAGAAAACCTCCCCAGAGATCAGGCGGTGGCAACAACTTGATTTCGTACGGTAAAAGAAATGAGCGAGAGAGAGGCAATAACACTTGCAAAGGATCAGTGGAGTTACGGTACATTGTCGGCCGGCGTGGTAAATAAGATTAAAGTTAGCAGTGAAACGGTTTGCCCTCTAGGGAACACTCACACATCTTTGTCCAATTGTTCTTCTCTCTTTCAATCTCACCCTGTTGATTTCCCGCCACCGCGTGTCTCCCTTTGCTCTCTGTCTCTCCCTCTCCCCGTCTGCAGGCCTTTGCGTGGTGGTCAGACCTGATGGTGGAGCATGCCGAGACCTTCCTGTGCCTCTACTCGGCCGACATGGATGCAGCGCTTGAGGTTCAGCCACCGGACAGCTGGGACAGTTTCCCCCTCTTCCAGCTGCTCAATGACTTCCTGAGGATGGACTGTGAGTTCCAGGGCTAATAAAAAAACCTATTTGAACGTCAGCATGGGAACAGGAGTGACTGCCAGCTGTTTCAGTAGGTTCTGTACTGGGTTGATTAGCGACGGAGTGATTAGGTACTGCGGATGAAGCCTTAAATGGAAGAGAAAGTCAAATTATCCACTTGCCAATATGAATGATTAACACGAAATGATTCCATATCATAAACACATGCATTTGATAATTGAATGGCATTATGTACCATTTAAAACAGTAAAGAAGTTAAGTATCATTATTTGCAAACTTGATTTCGTTTTGGTTTCAGCACAACACAAAAAAAGGATTTACAGCTGCTGTTGCATCCTCCACATCCCTCAAATGTCTCTGAAATCCTTGTCTGCTTTGGGCCTGCAGCGCGTGTACATCCTGAACTGTGTGTGTGTGTGTGTGTGTGTGTGTGTGTGTGTGTGTGAGCAGAGCCAGTGTCTGATTGAAGATAATAGTCAGGTCTTGATGCTGGTTGCTGTAGGCCAGTCATCTCTCTAATGAACTGCATGCACTTGCCTGCGGGAACACTGCTGAGCTGTCCGTGGTCCTGTAAAGGAAACACTTCAGTGTTCACAATGCAGAGCCGATCTGAGGGGCGCTAATTGTCTCCAGGGAATGCTTCCCCTTTTCAGTGTGTCGCTCGGGCGTCAAGGAGAAGGCAGAGAGTGGTCCATTTATTTGCCAGGATGGACATTACTGCAAATATCTCGTTATGCTCACTTGTTAGTGTCATCAAATTGGCCACCTTCTCATTTGCTACATATTGTCAATTGTGTTGAAATGGCAATTGAAGTGCATTGCAGTGGACATAGCTACACAAGGCAGAGGTAACAGAGGCCAGGATAAACCACACTGTGACTCCTACATTGTCCTTATCTGCTACTAACGTAGTTAATTTATTCACATGGTTAACGCAACCAAACAACACTTCCCATCACATCATTTTGGGGAAATATTTAGCCCTATTTTATTTAAAGTAATACATTTTTTATGACAACTAACTTTCTAAAACAACCAGTTACTCCAATTATTAGCAAACATCACTTAATGAAGAGAAATACCGCTATTAGTACTATTGTCAGTTACAGATGAATCTATAACTGTAATCGGTGCTACCTATTCTGTGCTGTTAGCTTAGCCTCTGTGCTAAAGTTACCGGGTTAGCCTTTGTGCTACTTGGTTAGTCTTGGTTAGTTAGGTTAGCCGAAGTCAACTACCAAAAATTCATCAAAAGTACATTTTTTTATGAGCTTTTATGTGTAAGTGTAAGCGGTGGATGCCAGTGCTGCATGCCACTACTGTACGTCACCCGTGGTTCCTCTTTCGGCGGAGGAGTGCGCACTTCCCTCGAACTTGCAGTTTTGATGCATAAAAATGGGAGTGATTGTGCAACACAGTAACGTCCAAGGGTCTCCAGTACCGACCTAAGGCCTAGCAGGGACCTCCCCGCCCGCTCAGTGTATCAAGCGGGGCACTTGAAGTAAAGAAAAGCGTAATATCATGGGGACATCTTTTCCACAGAAGGTCATCTGCGCTGTTGCCCCACGGCTGTGCACTTTGTAGCAGTAAATAGCCTTAGCAGTAGACAGGCGCCAAAGTCGGGCTGCCATCCCAGGAGCTAATGAGGTCTAAAGCAGTGGTAGCTGGGCCACGGCGAGCCCTGCGAACACACTCCTGGACACAACACATTCAAGTGGACAGCAGCCGCTGAAGTGGCTAATTGGGAGCGTGGTAATCAGGGAACACAGCAAACATTGCACCTACTGTGTATCATCGACCTTGACTTCAATGCCAACACACACAAACACAAACACATACATGCTCAGAGGGGGAGAGAAAAACAAAGAGAGAGAGAGGGGGAGAGGAAAAGCAGACACTGCATGGAGCCGTGAGGCATCACATTAGCACACACTGGCCTCCATTTTATCTCCTGTGGTCTTTGTCAGTGTTGCCTTTTTACCAGTTGGGAGCCGGCGGAGACTTGGGGAAATGTGTGTGACGGGTTGGATTTAGAAATACCCCGAGACTCCGTTCTTTTCTCTAGAAAGATTGAAACGGCCGCACCTGCTAACGAAGCGCCACAAACACTTCTCTGGCATCGTTTATCATCGGCACAGTTATTGTTTGTCTCGCTGCCTTTCAAAATTATTTTGAGACACAACATGCACATTAAGGGTTTTACAACACATGAAGCGTGAGTGAAACAGGAACTGTAACGCCAAGCCTATATGGATATCTCTACTAATCAGATGCATGATCCTACCTACAGATCAGCATGATCTGTAGGCACCTTCCGATAATACGATTTATTGACCCACCGAACACTTTCCGCACTCGCCGTCACTTTGGCTCAGTGGTCGTCCTTCAATCCGAGGGTCAGCGGTTCCATCCCTGTCCCCAGTAGTCCATGTCCATGTGTCCTTGGGCAAGACACCTTATACCAAATGGCTTAGCCGTGCCTGTGGTGTGTGAAGGCAGTGGAACTTCCTGATGGACAGGTGTCACTGGGTATAGTAGTTCCTGTCATCAGTGTGTGGTCGGGTATGAAAGGGTGAATGATGCCATATAGTTTTAAACAGCCTTCAGTAAACAGAAGACAGTCCATTTACTGAGACGGCATAACTTGGTGACGTGTAATGGTGCAAAACAAGAATTTCAAGGGCCGAAAATAAATGAGAACGTGGCTTGAAGAGGAGTTGTTTTCGTGGTGCCACGTTCCTCTTTGCACATTTCTGCCTATATGGTTTCACACCATTCCACTCAGCAAACAGGTGGCAGTAACTGGCAAAGAAACTGTTAAATGTACGGAAGACAGAAGAAGAGAAGTGAAAATACAAAACAAATACCACATGTTTAGGAAGACATACTTTTGCAAATGTTTAATGTGGAAGGACATTAACTCAAATAATTGGTTGGATCACAAGATACTTTCTATGTGTTGTCACTAAATAACGCTGAATGCTGACACGCTGATCCCCTGATTTAACATACGTGTCCACTGGCAGAGCTTCTAAAAGAAGACTGTCAGGACACAAGTAATCATTGTCTGCCATGTGCCTGCGTTTGCTTTGTCACTTACGTGTCTGATTTCCTCCTCACGCGGCCTCCTTCAGATAACCTGTGCAACGGAAAGTTCCACAGACACCTGCAGGACTTGTACGCCCCTCTGGTGGTGCGATATGTGGACCTGATGGAGTCGTCCATCGCTCAGTCCATTCACAGAGGCTTCCAAAGGGAATCCTGGGAACCTGTCAAGTAAGGAGGCCTTTATGTACTTGACTCGTACTGATGACCCATAACCACGTTACTATCTTTACAATAATTCAGGACATTGAGTCATATTTTATACCAGAGATGGACGAGGATCTATATGTTTGAATAAAGTATATTTGTCATTAACAATGTCCGCCAGACAATCTTTCCATTTGTCTAAAACAAGCTTTTGTAAGGCAACGCGCAGCTTTCCGTTCAGCAGTCATATTGCAATGGAAGCCTGAGAAGCTTGAGTTCTCTTCACGAGACATGGAGGACTGTTTTCAATGGAAGGGTCCGATGTGTGCTGAAGCCTGACTACTTGGAAAATTATCAAGGAATCACTTCCGATAGCATCAGTATCTTCATTCCATAAAGAAAAACTGGTTGTGTTTTTGTTCCCCAAATCCACTTTTATAACTTATTTGCATCAAGAATCTCTGTTTTCTGTTGTTCTGTTTCTGTCCACAGGAGTATAACAAGCAATCTGCCCAACGTCAATCTCCAAATGCCCAAAGTACCAAATCTAACAGTGCAAAGTGTTAACCTCCCACAAATGCCCAACTTCTCTGCACCCGACTGGATGACAGCTAATTCTGACTCAGAGTGTGTACCAGCCTTGTGCCGCCTGGGACATGCACACACGCTCTTGGCAAGAACGTGGCATCTGGCACTGAACACCAAATCAGTTTACATATCTTTTACATATCAAAAAGACAAAATCGGCTACTTTAAAAATAATTTGATTTGTAAGTGTTGACTGTCCGTCTGTGATTATTAATCTATATTCAAGTGCCCCGGCTGGTGAAGTGTTCCAGCACTGAGTGCACATCTGGGATTTACTGTGCAGGGACCTTGAAGTCACATTTTTGTAGCAAATCGCAGTCAAAAAGAGAAATAAAACACACATTCAGTGTAGCAGGTTATTTATAACTTTGGTTAAATCAACTAACCCGTCTGGAAGAGATTTAAAATGAAAATGTCATTGTTTTCTGTTGACAGGCGATAACGTCTTTCCCAAGCAAATACTGAGAATCAACAGCCCTTTTTGACCAATTATTTTTTTAAATGCTTTAACGTGCAATAAAATAATTGTTGTCGTTAGTTAATTAATTGCGTGAACGGAATAATAACACGTCCGCTTGCCCAGACACAGTTTCTTTGTATATATTCTAAATTAGTTTATCCTAATTTGTACACAAGATAGAAACTTTTGCAGCTGTTTTAAAATAAGTTTGTTACATTTGTAATTTTGGTTCATGAATGCCAAAATGTAACAAATGAAATATAAATATTTAAGTAAAAGCTTTTCTAAAATATTTAAGGCACAAAAAAAAAAACCTCACTAGAAAGTGATACAGTAGTAAAATGTTAAGTTTTTTTTTCAGATTGTTTATATTCTATACTTTTTGAGATTGTGTATTTGCCACATCTTAAATAAATAAATACACATCGCACGTTACTTATTAGTTTGAAAAAATGTGTAACAGCTTCCAATTTCAATGAAGTTTTTTTCTATTAATATGTATGTGATCCTGTGAGCGTTATCATTAAAAGCACACTGCATAACTCTGCCAACTTGACACATCATCTGTAGCACTTTGAAAACCGAACCGAAACGGGAAGCAGAGGTGTAAAGTAGCATCCTGCAGAGTGAGACGCTGTCACCACAGCACATCGATCCCCAGCCCCTCATCAGGAAATACAACAGCAGTCCTGAAGTTTCCATTGTTAAAAATAAATGATGAGATCTGCATTTCAGCCTTTAATTTTTAATTTAATCTTCAGTAACTTATTCACTTCCCCAAAAAAGCTACCAACAGAGAGACTGCGCTTGTCTATATGCCTCAAAGAGCCCGACCTGGCTGTCCGAGTTGGGGAGTGCATCCATAAACACGGATGTGCTTGCACAGCGGTGGCAGTCCGGTGTTTACATACTTACATACAGACTCGAGGCCACGTTCATGCCAAAGCTGCAGCATGGGGCGTGTAAATGGATGGAGGAGGACGGGAAAAAATGCAAAAAGCATTTGGACTGAGAATGAAGGTTATGGAGGCCACCTTCCTAAAAAAGGAGCGTTACCATAATGATCATAGAAAGACATTTGATGGGATTGTCATTATTTGTCTTACACTAAGATATTTGAGGAGTTTAAGGGGCTATATTCCAAATACAGTGCCTGACATTAACGAAGAGATGAGCTGTCATTTAGCGGCTAACGGTGCTGACAGCAGGAACTGTGCAATGACGCGCTCACAGCAACGCTCAAATGCACAACAAGGCACCGATGTCAATGCACTCTATGATCATTACTTTGGTAGCATGTTTCAACAAAGAAGTTTCCATCAAAACATCCAGTATTTACACTTGCAAAAAACAAGACCTCAGTGGCAGCTACTGTGCTGGTTATGAAGCATTTTTTTCAAATATTTCCATTCCAAATTTTCTCTCCCAGTTCCGTGATGTTGTAGAAGCCTGGTTTCCCGCTGCCTGCTGGGGCCGGTGGATGGCGAAGGAGGGGCCCTTTGTGTCTGAGTTCCCCCCACCCTGTGGTTCAGGACGAAGGCCACATCCACACAACTCTGTTCAGTCTCCGCCCACACAGGCGATTCAGCATAATCTGCGTCAACGCGGCGTGACTGTTTTCAAAATAGTCTGATTTCAGTACCCGGAAACCTCGTCCTGCTGTGGATGCTCAGTGCAAACGCAGCAAAACAAATGGGTTTTAAAACTAAAACGTAGTGGTGTGGATGTAGCTTACGTTGAGTTTAGTGCTGTTGAAGGAAGTGTCTTGTGAAGTTAAGCAGCCGTTTTTCCCGATGACATCCTCTACTTTACCCAAACGCGTGACCCCTTTTCCCCAGTTGGCATTAACAGACTTTGGTTCCCACCGACCAAGAAAAACCTGTGCTTCAAATGCAGAAAGGGTCTTGGAAAACAACACGGTTTTACAAAAAGTTGAAATGATTAAATTGGATATTACGTGCCGATAAAAGCTTCACACCAGTGTCCTTGACGCCTCTTTGCTTCACAAATAACGTGAGCAGGATTTCATCAACTCGGTGGGAACACTGAATACATCCAGTGAGAAAGTTCCTTTCCTCTTTCATTTTTCTGTTGTCTACAGACTAAATACAAATTGCCAAATGTATGTAATTGTCATTTTTTTGTCTAAAAAAAAAACTCTGCTGCGTCTCTCCTTTACCAGTGATTTATCGACTCACACTCACAAAGTAGCATTTCAATCATTTGATTTAGAGCAAACATCATTGTTTGCCCCCTTTTCATCTGTGAACGCTGAATTGTCCCCTGTGGGTCCCCTCCAGTAACGGCTCGGGGACGTCGGAGGATCTCTTCTGGAAGCTGGATGCTCTGCAGACCTTCATCAGAGATCTCCACTGGCCAGAGGAGGAGTTTAGCAAACACCTGGAGACCCGACTGAAGCTGATGTCCAGTGACATGATTGAATCATGTGTGAAACGGTAAGATACTGTCAGTATGTGCATGTGCCTGATAGCAACAAACAGTCATTCATGTATGTGTGGATTCGTGGTCAGTACTGGTACAGATACTGGGATCCAGCAGGCTTTTGTATCTTTAACAGAAGGTAGCGCTGCGTGACGCTGAGGTTCAGATGGAAAGAAAAGGATTCCATGGACACAAGTTGTAAATGCAATACCTTATGGAATGAGTAATATTCTACCTCTCAGTGGCTTGTTAGAATACTGTGGTATTTCTTAAATCCTGAAGCCCTGTTTCTTCCTGTGCTTCTTTAAGGGACACGGGCGGCGTTTGAGGCGAAGCTTCAGAAGAGCAGCCGGGCCACAGACTTCCGCGTGCCGCAGTCCATCTGCACCATGTTCAACGTCATGGTGGATGCCAGGGCCCAGACCGCCAAGCTGTGTGCCGTAGACCTGGGCCAGGAGGTATGTGCATGGAAATTCACCTTCCTGACTGTTTCAGGGGGAAATCATCATGTTTGGCTAAATGCATGTTTCTGTTTTGAATGGCCTTCCCAGATCGGAGTGCAACGTCTTTTTCAATTTTGATTTCTTTCTGTCTTTTTTTCAGTATCTCCTTAACTCAAATCATTTCATGTCACCTCTATCCGTCTGCTTTTCTGCTTTCCCTTCTCTCTATCTTGTCAAAGTTTGTTTGCGACTGGGTAAGTGTGGCTAAGAATTCAATGGAAATATCACCCTCAAGTATCCAAATGTATTCTTCCTCCTCTTGGAATGTTTGGTTTTCATTAGCATATGTGTAGATGTGGTATTGAACATACATGTGGTAGAAGTGACTGGTAGACGTTGCGGTGAATGTATTGTTGTCCTCCGCGGTCCTGTTGGTGCTACAAGGCTAAACATCATGATTCCTGGCAGTAAGGAAGAAGTGGCAGCAGGGGGAACCAGGAGGGTCTTTAACATGAAAGACTAAATGTAGAGATAATGTAAAATATGATATAAAAGTGATGAATTGTGTGCTTTGGTAAAATGTGTGTTTGTTTCTGCTGTAATCCTCTGATCCCCGCAGCATTCTGCTAGAAGCCTTCCATATCCGACCCAGGGGTTTGATTGGCATACTTGTCACTGCAAATGGGATTCCGTTGGGTTCATTACTTACTGCATTTATCCAGGGTGAAGCCCAAGAAGCCTTCTTCTATTCTGACATTTGTACTGAAATCTTCTCAAAAAAGTTGGTCCTGCAGAGTCCCTGAAGTACCATCCAAAGTTCAAACAATGAAGCCGTTATTATTACCAGGGTACAAGTGGGAATAAACAAGCACCTGAGTAACATCTCGATGTAGGAAATTCGAACAATGAGTCTTTTGTGAGGAGTCCTGAATATGAAAGTTACTGCGTGTCTTGATAGGAATTACAAAACATGTGATTAGTAAGATTCTCAGATGGAAGAATGTGGTTTCAGTAAATGAACACAATGAGTATAAAGTACCGGCCTGTGGTCGAGAAGAGTGACATGTTTCTGTTTCCCTCCCTCTCCAGAGACAATATCATTCCCAAATCAATGATCTAATTGAAGAGACGGTGAAGGAGATGATTACGCTCTTAGTGGCAAAGGTACAAACTTCATATCACAGTAGAAATTTGCAACGTGTAAGTATAACAGGCGCAGCGTTTTTGTGTTAAAAGTGTTGAGTATGTGACAAATAGAAACCTCGAACCTCTGGAAACCGACAACAAACAATGTCCACGAGGCGACTGCTTTAAGCGACCGCGACCCAAAGCAACCGAAAAGTGGCTCAAATGAAAACAAAGAGGCTGAACACATTCGTGAAGCTGTTCTTTGAGTTTTTTCTCAAACTTGTCATCTGACAAGAGAGGATGAAAAACTCTAAAAGTAGAGATTCACAGTTTTAGGCCGACGTGAAAAATGTGACTTACAGCCGTGTTGTAAGTGCAGCACGGTGGAATAAACACATTCAAATAGGCATCGGCTGAATTTTTCAGCACTAGTCACAAATGAAAAGAGGTGTGTGACACTGATACTAACGTTTTTACTTCCTGACTGAAGATGTTTTATCGTACTATTTACATATGTAGAGTAATTCTTCTTTTTCTCTTCCTCAGTTTGTGGTCATCCTAGAAAGTGTGTTAGCTAAGCTCTCCAGGTATGATGAGGGAACACTCTTCTCTTCATTCCTGTCTTTCACAGTAAGTAGCACACACACACTTCCAACACTTCTAAACATATTGCCTTTGACCAAATGGCCGTGAGTTAAAACAATACTATATTAGTACATGAGACTACTCTCATTCCCAAATGGTCCCATATGGACTCTCGCCATCACTTTTTAACACACCGGCTAACCATTGGTGTCCATTTCGGTGTGTTCTCGGCCAAGACAATTCAAATGGATGGATAGCTGTAACTTCAGTGATGAAATTCTGAATGAATAATGAAAAGGTTGTTACTGTTTGACCTTTTTTCAATTAATCCTGAGCACCAAATAGCTTAACACCTCAGTTGGTGTCCCGAGGAACTCCAAAAGGCCTGTTATTGAATTTGCGGGGTGCACTTTTGCAGCTGAAATCACCACATGAGTCACTGTTGCCACTTCGGCGGGTACTAATCCACAGGCTGTACATTCTCACCACGGCAGCCTTTGTCCTGACAAAAAAGTGCCCCAGCTGGAGACTTGACTGTTGTTTCACCCACCTCTCTCTCCTTTATGTCAAGGTGAAAGCTGCCTCCAAGTATGTGGATGTACCTGTAAGTGAGAGTCATTTCTCCGTCTGTCTCTTCATGTGTGCAAACCAAAGTCTTAATATATCCCTCCCTCACTACAATATGCATTCATCTTTTGTTTTGGAGATGTTACCATTGCCTCCATCAAATGTGTGGTTATCGTTCAAACACTTGGTTGTTTGGGGAAGACGCCGGCTCACGTTCCCCAGTGCTGCGTGTGTTTGTTTCTCTCGCATGTACAAATATTTGACCATGCTTTCACATGTCGAACCCTAATCCAGATGGCATCGCTCGTCATATTTCCACATCAAATGTCCCCCTGTTTTCCCAAATGTCCATTCATTTGCATGTGGCCAGACACTGACAGGCAGCCGTGCCTCGCTCCCATGCAGCACGCATTGTGAGTCCATGTGCTACAACACATGCCCGTTCTGCTGTCAGTGCGGCGGCGTTTGCGTGTGTCTGTGTATGCGTGGCTGTACGCATCAGATCTGTATTAGTTGCCAACACTTGGGCTGCAGTAACACGCCAAATTTTAAATTAATGCCTTGTCAGTGAATGTGGCGGGGCACTGTGTTCGCTGGCAGGGGTCGCCGCTTCCAGCCCGGCACGCTAATTGTGTTGTTAATGTACAAAATGAGAGTTTGGATGGTAGAAAAGACACTCATTTACACATTAGAAGTGTCACTGCAGATGTGTTAACTAAGTTCAGTTGCCGTGAGCACGTGAGTTCTTTGTGACTTAGACGAGCGACGGGATTTGGAGAAAAAAGGACCAAACAGTTTACAAAGTGCGTCATCTCCTCTTTAAAATGATAATACATGTTGAGAAAGAGAAAGGGGAACAACACATCGTCCTTAGTGAATATTGTAATCTGCTCTCGCCACTCAAACCCAACGAAGCATGTCCAGGGCCCGTGTTGGTTACCTCAAATTCTACATCATTATTCAGCTTGACTTATTTCACTTATCACAGTACAGTTAAAGGTACTCAATGTTAATTCCATCCACTAACACAAAAAGGATTTGACGGATCGGCCACAGCATTTTCAAGCTAAATCCTTAGAAGCTAATTATTTAATTATTATTATTTATAAATATATTAGTACATGTTTAACGCAGCGAACCTGACGGTTTATAGATGAGACCTGTTATCCAGTTCTTTTTAAAGTAAGCCCCCATGAATAAAGTTGAGTTAATAGTAATTTCAGTTTATCGTGGTCGAATAACATTTTGACATCAGTGGAATGAGCGTCTCTCCTTTGTCCTTTGCAGAAACCAGGGATGGACGTCGCCGACGGTTACGTGACATTTGTCCGTCACTCACAGGACATGCTGAGGGAGAAGGTCAACGAGGAGGTGTACATCGAGAGATTGTTCGACGTAAGTAAGCCGCGGGCGCCTCCTGCTCCATCAGAGGCAGATTTAGTGACAACGCGGTTTCATTTTTTTACGCCACCTGTGATCATCGGCAAGAGGAGATTAAAACAAATCCCAGCGAGAGAGGAACCAAAATCAAAAAAACCAAAATCACACTGATTTCATCTTCAATGTTCATGTGAGCTTTGATCAGGGTGCAACTCTGCCGCAGTTTGTACCTTTGTCCTTTTCAGACAGCTTCGAAAGGAAGATATTAGTCCGGGATGTGAGAATTTCTTTGATAATATTGGTGAAACCCATTAAATTGTGACGGTACTAATGGCAATATTAAACATTTAACATCATTTTGAGGGGCTAGATTATATTCACCAATGGCAATATTTGAGATGTTTTTTAATACTTTCTGGTTTATTTGGTATCTTATATCTCTGGTACAATATACGAATGAATTGTGTTTGTAATGTCGGATCAAAAGGTCCGGAGAGGTTAGAAATGCTAATTGTGCTCGCGGGCAGGTAACGCTGGCGCTCCCTGTCCGCCTTCCGGCGAACACCTCGCTCAGACCCGTGTCTTTTTGGGGTCTTTGTGAGTCACTTTGTGAAGCCGTTCTTACGCATCAGTGTCCCGACAAACTTTAATCAACTCAAGCTGTAATCAACTTGCACAACAGTCCCCCCCCCCCGGACGCTGTTTGTCTCCACCCGCGAGCTGAGTAACACCAAAACAATTAGTAAATCCCTAAGCCTGGCCGCTGAGCCTCCTCCCGGGTCAAACGGGAGGATTTCTCCTGGAAATGGGCTAAAGCGATCCCTGCCGCTGGACCAATTGCGTTTCCGCTTCTCCTTTCAAAGTCCCGCGCATTCCCGTCCCTCGCCGCTCACCCCTTTGTCCCGCGGCGCTGGTGTGCGGTTTGTGTTGGTCTCGAGGAGGGATTATCCCGAGTGGTGCTCTCTCTTTCTGAGTCAGCAAACAACCCATAATCAATTGAAAAAGGGGCACAAAAGATCACTTTGTAAGACGGCTCAGCAGCAAGCGGACTCACGAAGATGTCGCCCCCCCCGCCTTAAAATGAAGGTTATTCAATCCTTTCGGTCATAAGTGCCACACCGCAGACAGACACATTGTGCGGACTGAAGGAGTAAGGGCGAGCAGCTGGAATGTGTTGATGGAGAAAACGTAGCAGGAAGCTCATTAGGATGCATCCTGAGTGTGTGTAGAACACGAGGGGTTCTGCCAAGGTTTACACTGATCCACTGCACATTAGCTTCTATTGGGCTTCCAGCCAGAAGGCCACAGCAGTTCCTGCAACAATTCGCAGTAAAGTGCTCAGCGGGGTTGTTTATTCAAGGTGCCAGATAGCTGAAGGAACCTAAGTTGGGTCGGGAGAGGAGATGTACAGTGTTGGGGTTGGCCGTCTGACCCCATCAGCTAAATGCCCTGCTGGGGGGACGCCACACTGTCCAGTAAGGAGACGGTCTCACAGTAATCTGGAATTACTGCGCAGACAATCATCTGGAATCTCAAAGTTGTTTTTGTTTTTTCCAATTCTCAGGCAAAGTCCAAAAAGTCACGTCTGTACTTGATCCTGTTACGAACATGTGCCTTCATCACGTCATGTTGGATTTTGGGGGATTTTATTTATCCAGGAATCAGACAGAAGATTCCTTTCAAGCATTAATCAAAACACAATTGGTAGTATATCTTATTTTGCGTCTGGGAACACAACCCCACATTAGTCACTCGGTCAGTCCCGTGGAGGAAAAACACGTTTTGGAGAGAAAGCCGAAGTGCCAAACATTTGTTTTATAAATGTCCATCATACTTTACACTTTTTAATTTAACAATGAAGGATTTTTAGCAGCTCACTTCAACTGTTGATCTGAATTAGAATTGAGTGAATGTGAAATGTGACCATGGACGTGATGCCCATAAGACCCGTGTAGACCTTAATGATCCTTTAAATCGGCCATCTTTAATGTGGGGACCGCCGTGTCCATCTCTGTGTTTGTCCTCCGGTCCTTCATCACCTCCCAACCTGTCAGCGCTGCGCTGTGCGTGCTGGTGGAGTCTCTGCAGATGAGCGGCGTCTCCGTGCGCGGCGCTGTGCTGAACGGAGGCCTCGAGGTGTAACCCGTCTCCCGTCCTCCTCCTCCTCCTCCTCCGGCGGTGCTGACAGGGCGCGACAGAGACGTGTCCGGTGCTGGATCGTTGCCGCGTATCCGCGCTTCCTCCACGAGGGCGCTTCTGCTGGCGTTTGTCTCACCCCGGCTTGTCTCCTTTGTCATAGCGTGTCAGGTCTCCCCGCGGCGTCCCCGAGGAGCACCGAAGGTGTCTCTGGCTGCTCTCTGCAGCCCTGTTGTGCTTTTATTGCCACTCCACCCTTTTTTTTCATCTACTACTCTCTCTTTCTAGGCGGGTTTTATATTCTGATGGATGCAACGTTGGTGTTTGACTTGAATGTAAGCGTATTAAGCACATTTGGCACTGTGGTGATGCTGAAGACGCAAACTGCATTTCAGCATTGCACCTTTTGTTGAAAAAGAAACTTAGCTGTGTTTCTAATTTGGTTTTGAAATGTATGGAAGTGAAAAGTTCAATACTTTCCTCCGGGATGAAGTAAGTAATATTTAGTGGTGGATTAATAAACAGCTTAATGCAGTAAGTGATGTCCGGTTCGTCCTAAAACACGGATTGTAAACAATAATAATCTGCCCATTTTTTGTCGAAAAGTTCAAATGTTGGCAGATGAAAACGTTTACGACTGTATATGCTGGATTAGTTTATAGCAGCAAACTGTCCAGACTGTAGAGGGAGACACTCCTGACAACTCTATAGAGAAGCATTCAAAGCAAACGCTCGTACAGGCCAACAGAGCAGAGACCCCAGTGTGTGTGTGTGTGTGTGTGGGGGGGCAAAGAGGGGGTGTTGGGCTCCGGGTTTGTTGTCCTCCAGAAATAAGGTCAGGATGGACTCCCCCCTAATCTTTGCTTTGTCCCCCTCCCCTCCCTTTCCTTGGCGGGCCGCTGACTTCATTTATTCATCAGTCCTGTCCGTCTCCGCTGGGGAGGATTACGAAAATGAGGCGACTCTTTACATGAAATATTGCGGCTTATTGGTTATGCTAATGTGCTTTCTTAAAATCAAGCTTAACCACGAGTTTGTAAACGCATATTGGAAAAGTTGGCAGTGTTGCAGTTAACAAATCGATAATAAGCAACGGAATTTGTCCTGATTTGTATTCTTTCAAAAAACAAAAAAAAGTGCAAAAATAAACAGACAAAAAGATGGGAAAGTAACTTCCAGTCACAAGAGGGACATTATATGATGTTTTGGTGACCCGCAGGACAAGATCCTTCTATGCCGGGTGACGAGATTAAAGTCTTAACATCTCTCAGCGGGCCGTAATGCAGAATGAAAGAATCCAGGAGACCGTTGACTGTAAAAGAGATTACATTTCAAATCACACCAACAAATCAAGTCCTTTAAGCGTTTCATTTCACACATCCCTCTCAGATGTGAGGATGGACGGCAGTATGTGTCCAGAGTGGAATAGAATAAGAAGCCGTCTTCACAGGTAGGGGACGGAGCAGGATTAGTGGAGACCTCAAAGTGATTTAGGTCTTTCACGTGTTTGTGGGTTGTCATTTTAATTGGAGTCAAGACATGCATTTATCTTGAGATACCTTCTAATATCTGTGGCAGTAAGCAGATTATTTCACTACGGCCTCATAACTTCTAAATATGTGTCAGGCTGGTCCGTATGTGGTCCAATGGTGATGATCTTGAACAAACAACAAAATCTCAAGAAATCATTCCTAAATTGAGATTAACGAGTGTTAAACCCCATCATCTCACACAGATTGGCAGGTATGGGGGAGGGGCTTGTCAACGCAGGACATTTTGAACTGATGTTTAACCTACATCTCCGACATGTGGACGCGGGTCGTCCCATTTGTTGTTTTTGCTTTTTCATGAGCAGAGTGTTACTTTTTGGTGTTTTAAATGAGATTTACTTCATGCTATTTTACTGACCAGCAATCCAATCATGGATTTTTTTTAATATTAGATCTGCTGCTGTTTTTGAAAATTGCTGTGCAGGCAGGTGTCTGCGGCATCAGGATTAAATTGCCGTGGACGGAGAGGTTGGCCAAGTGGCTTTGATTTTCTTACCTGATGCTGCCTCAGAATTTGACCTTTTTTCGAACGGATACATTTGAAAACATTCGCACGCACACTTCAGCTGGACGTGTGCGTGCCTCATCCGAGGAGAGCGTCCACTGGGCCAAAGTCACAGTACACCGGCAGATGTGGCCTCTGCAGGGTGTTTATTTGGCTCCGCAGGCCGGGGTCGAAAAGGGAGGATGTTGGTTACCCACATGGAGTGTAAAGCCACCACACTTTTCCTTGTTAGCTCCAACATATTCCCTGACGCAAAGTTTCCCCTCATCGGGAATCATAAAGCATGAACAATGATGGCCGTGTAGAGGTCTTCGGCAGGTTGGACTTCTTCAGCTGCCTCAGGGAGAACAGCCTCTGCTGAGGCTTCTTGGTGATGGAGCCGTTCATGATTATAAACCTACTTAGTTAGATTAAGCAATCATTTTTTAATGAAAATGATAATAACTTTCTGTTGGAATGGAAGTGCTGTTACTGACTAATCCATTTTAACTCCTGGTTTCACGTGGGGAACAGCACTCTGTAAAGATCCCTCTTTCAGAGGCCTCCCAACTACCCCCCCCCCTTCTCCAGCGAGCCTCAAAGCTGGAGTTCAGGAGGAGCAAAGTGCTTTCCATTCAGGTTGTACAGCGAAACACTTTAATGTTGGTTGCAATATCGCAGCGTCCGTCTTCTTGCGGGTGCAGCAGGAGTAGGAGTTACCGCAGCAGTTACCTCACATGTCGTAGCTCCGTGAGAGCTTTTGAAAGCTTTGTCTGCATAAAATCTATGTCGGCTTTGAGCTCCAGCGTGCAGCGTTGTACTGTGGGGGTTACTGAGCTCCAGCA